TCATTGTTCACCTCCAATAAATTTTTCGTTCAAAATGAAATGACTTGCAAACAACAAATTATTATGTTAAGGGCGAATATTGAGAACAAAAGACAACACAGGCGCAGCAAACAAGGGGGCTGATGGATGAGTGCACGGAAGGAAATTCCTATAATATTCGAAGAACATCGTGCGTACCTACACGAAAAAAAAAAAAGAATTGTTGAATCACGCAAAATTTAATTGAATGGAGCAAATTGAAGTGTCATATATGCACGACAACATATAATCTTGATATGAGTAAATCTATATCTTGTTTCAGAGCGAATTTGAAGTTTGAATGAAGTGAATATGTCTTGCATGAACTCTGGATCTCATTCTATCAAGCACATCCATAAATTGTTTATGAAGAGATATTGAATTGGCTCAAAGAATCATTTTGTTTGATTCAAAATAACAAGATATTGATTCAATCGAATATTTAGTTGATTCAATGAAATATTTGGTGGATTCAAAGAAATATTTGGTGGATTCAAGAGAAACTGTATTTCCATTCGACAAATTGTTTTGTTGAACCAAATTCAGTATCAATTCAAGAAATTTCTGAAATTTCACATCAATAGAATGAACTAAACTAGGAAACTAGTAGACTTCTAGCATAGATCTCCAGTCTTCACTTCTCTTCAGCTGATGCAAAATTATTTCGGATTGCTAATCATCCTCAGTTCGATTTGTCCAGCTGATATTTCAAACACGAAGAATCAGGTGCCACGTATATAATAAATTCGAGGCAGGCATAGACGAGGCGAAATGATCGCCATCTAGAGGCGAAAATTTAACTTGATGTAGGATATTTCATTGATATCACATATTTCGTTGCTCTATTCAAGCAAATGATCCGCTCAAAACAAGTTCATTGCTACATCGGAATAAGAAAACTTATATGTTATTTCAAAGATATATTCTCATCAAAATCATTATTTCATCAAATCAACAAAATGTTTTTAGTTGAATCAACATCGACATTATTTTAGATTGACATAATTTGTTTAGAGAAAACTATATATTTTGTTGATGAAATTGATATTATACTGTTGATTCAATCAGATTACATTCTTGATTTGAACAAGCTGCTTCCATGAAATAATCATGCATCTGGTTGATTCAACAAAAAATTGCTCAGTCCAACAAAAATAACTCAAGCATGAATAATTTGTTGATGCAACAAATCATTTTTTTCCAAAGCTTTACTGTTTTATAAACGAACGAGTTTTGGTAAAGTGTTGTTCGACATATTCAAGGTGGACAACGAGCGGATGTGCTGACTGGGCCTGTCTAGGGGTCGCCAAGACAAGAATTTTTGTCTTGATAACAACTTCTTGTCTGCTCATGAGAAAAAGTCGAGAAATTTCGAAAAATCTTGATTGTTATTTCATCAGTAGATATACCTTGTCAAAAATTCATAAGATTTCAGTAGATTTATTTATGCTATACAAATTTCAGGATGATGAAATGAACCTCTGACGTCAAAAAATATGTATTTTCTGTGAAGGGACAAAAGTTTGACTTTGATTTTGATTTTATCTATGTTGTACCTGTCAACAAAATTTCATTTTTCATGAGATTACTTCTTTCCCGCGAAAAAATTGAGTAATTTTACCAACATATCAAGCGCTTAGATGCATTCGAATTTATAATCAGTGGCGCCAGAAAATGAATTTACAGAGGGTGCCTGAATATCACCCAAGATATTATGAGTCTATGTGATTAACTAAATATCAATATCAATAGGTGATTATAATAATAAATAAGTGTCATTATTTTTTTCAGTAGATTATGAATGTTTCAGTAGATCAGAAGATCAATATGCAATTCAGAAATCTCCTGAAAATTCAGTAAAAATGGCAACCCTGTCGCGTGCTAACACGGCAATTTGGTGGTTCCCCGATCTTTATTTCTTTTCTGACGAAAGCAAACGACGTCGCGCACTTGCAATGATGCCAGTTTGTGAAGTGATGGAAAAAAGTACATTATATTGATATTATCTCTTATTTCATCATGAGTGATGAACGCACGTTCTAGCGTGTTCATTCTTAGTCAAGGAATTTCAAGATTTCTTGTTTTCTTGACAAGTAATCTTGGTATTGACATAACATTTCTTGTCTCGTCTTGAAATCTAAAATTACTTCTCGTCTTGATCTTGTCTTGAGATCATGACAAGATCCTGAAATATTCAAGAAGTTGGCGTGTGTTTGGGTGCTGAACCCTATATGTGAGAACAGCATCCTGAAACTGGCCGTATCTGTGTATCATGAGAAGCTGTCGAGGTGTAAAGTAGATTTTCGCACGGAATAAAAATCCGAGTTTTTGCGAAGCAGCTTTCGTTTCGCGATGAATCAAGACATGATTTTCCTATGAAAGAGTATTGCTGATGCAAATATCGAGCATCGATATAGTGGTCTTGGTGAGAATGGTGGTACCGGACATTGTGATATCAGGTATACTATGTTCCGCCTTTCTAGAGCGAATGCAGGCTTTAGTTTTGGTAGAGTTGAACTTAACTAGGTTGTTGGTTGCCCAGGCTGAAATTTCAGCAAGATCATCATTGACAGCGTTGACCTGCCTTGGTCGTAAGTTCTTAGTTTTCCTGAAAGAAATGGAATTCTGAAGGGAACGCAGTATGGAGAGTACTAACTATCGTCTGAAAAGCTGTAGATAGGGCAAGTGGTTGCTCCCAACAGATCATTGATATGAAGTAGGAACCATGTTGATGCCAAAATTGATCCTTGTGGAACGCCGGAATTGATGGCAATGGTATCAGACGATACACCGTCCACCACCACGTGGAGTGATCTTTGATTGAATCGCATCTATAGGAAGATATCTACACAGCAAGGCGAATGCAAAGTATTGAATTCCCTACAAGACGAAATATAGAATATACTTCTACAGGGTGTTATAGTAGCAAAATGTCGGCAACTGATAGACGAATAATCAGTTTTAAATCAGTTTTAATCTTCTCCTGAAGATGCCAACTTAGTTAGCGAAACACGTGTCGAGGCGTTAAAAAGATCGGTTTGGTTAGTGGTAAAACAGTGTAGTGTATTATCGTGCCAAAGGTTCCAGTCTTCGATATACCTTGTGTATGCAATTTACTACTGTTATGCTTGAACCAATAGCGTTTGAACTTTTTTCGAATGGATGCCAATGAGGAAGAAGATTTTATACTTCTCATTAAATATGAATCTTCGACTCATTCCATATAATGCATTCATAACTTTGAATCATTGTGAGCATAATTATATGAGATCAGAGATTATATTTTTATATCAATATTGAATATGATAAATGGTAAATGAAGAGCATTTTGAATTTAATTATTTCATCAAGGCTTAGTTGATTGAATTAAACTTCCCATGAAAATCAAGATAAGTCAAAAAATCAACATATTCATTTTGATATTCAAGTTTCAAGTATATCTAGTTGATATACAAGGGAAAAATCGAATCGAATTTTCTTTTCTGAATTTCTGAACGCCAGACAATTTTGATAGTTTGGGTTCCAATTTATGATTTTTTGTTCTTCATTCAACAATTAATTCACTTAACATATACAACAGTATTTGAAATTCGAAGTCTGTCTCAAATTATAGCTAAATAAGGTATTCCTAAGTAGTACCACTGATGAAGAAGTTATTGGAAGTTTGACATTCACAGGATATTTTTTTCTCTGTTTGTAGCAGAAGGGGTCTAAACCAAACGATTTGCCAAAATTTCATTGAATACTTAATTATTAACCGTCGTTCGTCTAACTGCTGTGTTTGCGTACGAAAAAGTAACACTCACAAGAACGGAAAGTGATGTTTTTCCGCTAAGCTTCACTTAACGCACGTGTTAGGTACGCTATTTTTTCTACTAGCTTGCAGAATAATACCCAAAAGTTAACATGAAGAAACATGTATTATAATTGAATATTCAAATGTCAATATACTCCCCAGAAACTTAACAAACTACTAGGGCGGAAAAGGGAGTCTTTCAACACCAAATGAGTGCAGAAAAGTGGAATTTTCCGCACGCTTTTAGAAAAATAAATAAACGTACCTACTTTATAATAGGTTAAATATACGAACAAATATGTGTCGACTTTTCCTGGCCTTGAAAATGTCTTCAAAATGTCAAACTTCTCAAGAATGACAAACAGTGCCGACACTTTTACAAAACTATTACTGCCAAGCACCATCCGAGATAGTAAAGAATGTGAATATTTGTTAAGTGTTTGTACAGGGTGATTGACTGTAGATTTCACATCAACACTCGCTATCTCGAAAACTAATCAAGATATTGTAAACTTCGAAACAAATTCTTAAATCAAATGTTGTTCTCTTTTGGGTAGTGCCCCATTCCATATACAGAAGGTGTGAAAATGCTTTTTTTCTGATTGAATACCCTATATTTCATTGCAAAAACTTAGATACCTGTGTTCTGATTTCAAAAATATATAATTTTCATTCATTCCATGTAGTTATTTTGGGTAAATCGAAAGAATGTAATTTGAAATTAATTGAATAATTCTCGTCATGAAATCCACCAATATAATCCCAATTGAGCAGAAACCAGGTATATATCGAAAACACTAAGTTTCAGCTCAACTACATGATCCATTTGAAAAAATTGAACATATTGAATAAATCCATCAGGATGGAACATTCTCAAAAAATTTTTCTTCAAATTTCTGGTCAAGATAGCCATCCTCATGCCAGATGTGCCATCTGAAATCAAGATATTGAACTTCCACAAACATAGCAATCTTAAGATTTACGGTTCTATAGTTATGATTTTCTGTTGTTTTATCGAGCCTCCTTGGCGATTTGGAATTTCAGCCGCCTATGAAGACAATTGTTGGCATTGAACTCCAGTAATAATAACATTATTACCTGACATATTAGAATTACTTTGCAGAAAAGTGGGCTTGGCCCTTGAATTGGAATACATAAATCTAGTTTGATACGAGCAAGTTAATTAATATGATTCAAGTCGGTGCATTGATAAACATAACTGAGTAAGAGGGATTTTGCATATCCGATCGAAAACTTGTTTTATAATTTTGCATTGTGCATTGTGAAAGGATTAGTATACTATTCGTTGTGATTGGTTAAGGTATGTAGATTTTCTATAATTCCAGCTTTACTCCTGCATTTTCGAATTCCGGCGGAAACTTTTCCCTTATGCTGACGTCTCGGTTGACATGTGCTCCATTAATGTAGTGATTTGGATTATTCACCTTCTCTGTTCATAAAATGTTTCTATAATATACAGGGTGTCCCAAAATTAGCCTGCCAAATTTCACCAGCGGCTTCTACGACCAAAAATAGGAAGAAAAAATTCTATGAACATTTCTTGAATATTTCCGAAATTTCAACGTGATAAAATGATGCAATTTGGTAGAAGAACTAAACTTTCCATGTCCAATGCGATGAACATAAAATCATTCAGAAATGTCATTCTAGAGTGTATAATACAGGGTGGGACTACATCAAATATGGCTCAAACTTTTTTGTATGCATATTTTTCGACAATTTAATCTCGGATTATGAAAATCCACACCATTTCAAAAAAGAAGGTGCTCCCGTTCCGCATCGATCAGATGTATCATTTTCGAGTGAAATCGATTTAGAAATATTGATACACTCATTTCTTATGCATAACGTTGCCAATTTTCGAATCATAGAGGCCAGAAAAAAAACTCATTGTTTTTCACCAAACAAACTCATAAAAGTGCGAAAAATAGAAAAAAGATGATGAAAAAATTACTAAAATGTTTTCTTTTTTTTTTTTTCATTTCCACTACGACTCATTACAATAATGTTATGCAAAATATCTGAGATGTAACAATATTTTGGAATCGCTTCTACTCGATAATAATATATCTGATCGTTACGGAACAAGCGTATACCTTTTTTCTGTAAAGAGGTGTGGACTCGGGTGTGGATTGTCATAATTCGAGATTAAATTGTCAAAAATTATGCATACAAAAAACGTTGAGCAATACTTAATGTAGTCCCACCCTATATTATACACTCCTGGGTGAAATTTTGAAATCATTTTATTTTCACTGCATTGGGCATGGAAAGTTTAGTTCTTGTACCAGATTGCATCTTTTTATCTCATGGAGTTTCCGAAATACCGTAGCTTCCTTAGGAGAGATTTCTCGTCTCATGTTCATTGAAACATTTTCCTATTTTTGATCGTCGAAGCCGCTGGTAAAGTTTGACTGGCTAATTTCGGGACACCCTGTATATATTACACCCGCAACTATCTTCCTGATCATAATTTGAAAGGAACCTTTCAAAATTTTTTTCAAAAAAAGAAAAGGTGATTATCGTTCTTCCAAAATAAGGGAAAACTAGTTCATATACCTATAAGTATACAGAGTTGGGCAAAAGGGGGGAATAAAATTAATATTTTCTGAACCAGAAAATAAAAAAAAAACTTCGGACTCATGAATTCATTTTTATTATTATACGTATAAGTCGTAAGGTATGGTAAGATTCCATTTTTAGCGAGCTCATCGACGAACGTACGAACACAAGACATGTGTTTCCATTTGAAGAAAAAAAGTTGGGAGGGCTTGCACCTATAAGGGGTTGAAGAAAAAAATTTCATTATTTTCCCCTAAGTGAACATTAATAGACATTCACGACAAAAGTTTGGTGAAGACTATATTTTTTTTAAACGAGACCGAAAGTGATAATATATTATGTACAGGGTGGAGCAGCACATACGACCGCATACGACATGGAGTTTCTATGGAAAACCATGGCATATCACGGATTCTTTCCGGTTGGTTGGATGTAGAATCTTTGTATGCGCGATTCAAAGTTATTATGGGTTGTACAGGGTGTTTTTCCTACCGCTGCTATGGAAACCATACTCAATATTCCACCTCTTGAAATCTTCATCAGGGCGGAAGCGAGAATGGGGGCATACAGACTGGAGTGTACCGGCAACTGGTATGCTCGGGGTGACTCCCTGGGACATACAAAAATAATCAGCCAAGTTTCAAGCCCACTAATGGATATGGGAAGGGACAAAATGCTGCCTAGAAATAACTATTACAGACCCTTCAACACTCAGCTCTACTGGGATGAAAGGGTCTTGACTAACTGTCAGGAAGGCACGTTAGTATGGTACACTGACGGTTCTAAGACTGATGAGGGCACGGGAGCCGGAATATATGGAGATAGACCCAGAACCAGGATGTGTGCTTCCTTGGGGAGGTATGCTTCAGTATTCCAGGCAGAGGTGCATGCTATTGAGGCATGCCTGAGAGAGAATATCGTAAGAGGATACAGAGGTAAACAAATCCTCATATGCTCAGATAGTCAGGCGGCCATTCAATCTCTAACATGCAATAAAATCAGATCAAAATTGATCTGGGATTGCCTTCAAAGCCTGCTAACCCTGGCTAACCACAACAAGGTAACTCTTCAATGGGTGCCAGGGCATAAGGGAATTGAAGGCAATGAAGCAGCTGACGCTCTTGCCCGGCAAGGGTCTGCGACGTTGTTTATAGGGCCGGAACCTGTGTTCGGTATCCCCAAAACCTCAATACGCGGCTGGCTGGCAAGGTGGATGCAAGAAAGACATCAAGCATACTGGAACAATGTCCCAGGACAAAGACACAGTAAACTGATGGTTGGAACACTGTCCAAAACAGTGACTAACGACATTCTGAGCCTAAACAGAAGTCAGATCAAACAAGTGACGGGACTAATAACCGGTCACTGCCCCTTGAGGAAACATATGCATCAAATGGGCATCTATACAGACGAACCCATATGCAGACTATGCAATGAGGAGGAGGAAACTGCCACCCATGTAATACTGGAGTGCGAAGCACTAGCGCGTTGGAGATACAACCTTCTGGGAGCAGTAAACTCTCAAGAGGCATTTTCAAAGAATGATCTGGTGAAGAGGCTGCTAAACCTCATCAAGGTAGCGAACCTGTTCACCTAAGTCAACAGCATGATCAGGAATACAATAGGCCCAAAGGCTGCAGTGTTTTGGGCTTCAAACCCTGACTGATCATTCTGCTATTAATCAATCAATCACAGGGTGTTAAGAAAAAAAGTTGTTCTTTTTCAAAGTTGCTCTTTTTCAAATGGAATGCATATACTGTATATTATTGCATTTTTGAATTCTCCCTGAACAGCTAATTTCATGAATACATCACACTTGAGGGTCTAGCGGGAATGATTACAGAGATATAGGGTTTTCAAAATCGAATTTTTTTGTGTCGAAACTATTCATTATTGGTCCAATCGGCTCACATGTCCCCATTTTCCACCTTCGGATTTTTTGTGCCAAAACTATTCGTTTTTGGTCAAAACGGTTCACATGTTCCTATCTCAACTTTGAATTTACTATCTACTGACATTTAATTTGAACAGGTACAGGGTGATCAGAATTCTGAATCTTGAACCACCCTGTATTTTTTCCAATTAAATGTTTGTAGATAGTTAATCGAAATTTGAGATAGGGACATGAGAGCTATTTTGAGCGATAATGAATAATTTCGACACCAAAAAATCCTCGATATTGAACACCCTATATCTCTGTAATCATTCGTGCTAGACCCCAAGTGTGGTGTACTGATGAAATCAGCTCTTTAGGAAGAATTTAAAAATGTAATGAAATACAGGGTGTGTCATTTAAAAAACATAACTTTGATACGTATTTTTTTCCTAACAACCTTTATATCTTATAATGATTTTAAATTGCGCATACAAAGATACTACATCCAGCCAACCGGAAGAGAATCCGTGATATTCCATAGAAACTCCGTGTCATATGTGCTGCCCCACCCTGTATAGAATGGTATAGGTCATGGGCAGTGGATTGCTATTGGACTCAACTTTCATCTCTCTTTAATTATATGAACTTCATTTGGCGGACACTTCTCGATGAATTATTCTACACATTCTTATACACATACAACATACAAAGTGTTTTTGAAATAAGTGCAAATATTCAGCACATTAATATGATACAGTCCAAGGAATATTCCTATGATATCAGATTTTTTTCTAATTCGTCTAATTAACGAGAAATTCCATCCCAAAAATTGAACAAAATACGAGAAAAAATTCAAGTACGCCACTTTGAAACAGTTTAGATGATTGAACTCCGCGTGATTGTACCTACCGCATAGAAATTTGAACAGAGGTGATGACGTCAGATTTGCTACAGTGTAGAACTTTGAGTGGAAAAAAGGTTCTAACCTCAAATTTTATTTTGATCCCTAAATTTCTTTCATTAGTGCCATTCGATAGTACACGTCGAGCTGTCTCAGTGTTTGAAATACTTGCACTTATTTCAATGCCACCCTGTATAGATAGATCAACGTGTATATATTATTTAACGAGCACGGAATGATAGTGATTTCCTACGAGAATAAAGTTTGCATGAGCCATAGGCGAATGCTGCAATCATTCGAGTAGAAAATTAGCATTCTGTGCAAGTTAAATAAAACTATAATTTTTCTTCGGCTATAATAGATAACAGCGGCATTTTCGATTTCTTCGTCTTGCAGCCATCTGATTTCCTGTCAAGTAATGCTCATCTATTAGACAGAGTTGTCATTGCTTGAAATTCCATGGGCTATGAGTTTATTTTGAAATAATAACACAATGGAGTCATTGTGATATCAGATTCGGAAATAAAATTGATGACATACAAAGTACCCCATTAATGTATCGAACACAGTAAAACAAGAGCAATTTTGTGTTATAGCCATAGAAAATAGTATATTGTGTAGTGTCCGACCACGTTAACTTTGGGACAGCATGTGACGCAACGCATATGAATATTCAATGCATACGCGACCACGTGCTGTCTAGTGATTCACACGAGACCAACGAGACGAGACTTTCATAAAGTCTCGTCTCGTCTCGCCGATGAAATATGAAGTCTTGTCTCGAGTCTCGTCTCGCAGCCCCGAGTCTCGTCTTGTCTCGCGTCTCGTACGAGAGTCTCGAAAAAGTATCGCAATTTCGTCATGCATAATGTCTAGTACGGAATATTTACCTTTGCCTACTTTCTAGGTATAATGTAGAAGTAGAAAGAGAAAATTACAACAAAAATAACATTGTTTATGGAAAAGTAAGTATCTAATAGGTACATACTTACATCATACATCTGAACAAGAAAAAAAAACATAGCATTATATATTCGAAAGTTATAAAAATTAAATAAAAAGTAACACGTATATTCTCAACAAATAAACAAAACAAAAACTTCAATCCAACATTATTCTACTTATTTGAGAAATAGGTATTTAAGAAAATAGTTATTTGTTTTACTAGGCAGAAAAGTAGTCAATCTACATTTTCTGCCATGTGAAACATAGAATTTTTCCTCCAAATGATATAAAACCAATTTTGTGTGATTTTTTTATTGAAAACTCCATCATTTTGTGTTCACCATATGTCAGTGTCAATTTTGATTACAAATTTCATTAGAATTTCTTGGAACGTTGCATAGCAACAAACTTTTTCTGCCTAGGCAGTAAAAGTACACCTTTTCTGCCTGTTAAGCGGCAGGAAAAAGCCACTATTCCTGCCGCTTGGAGAAAAAAACCTTTATCAGTCAGATCAGCCTTCACAATCGCAATGTTTTTGTTTTTCACCCAGTCGTCAAGACATAACAAACATCGTGCAGATTCATTATTAAGGCGATTCCGATGTTTTCTTATAGAATTCTTCCTGAATATGTTTTATTATGAATGAAATTCTCAAGTCTGCAGTCGGCACGCAGAAATATTTACCTGCGAGACTCTCGCACGAGACACGAGAAGTCTTGCACGAGACTCGAGACGAGACCAATGAAAGTCTCGTCTCGCCTTGTTCGAGTCTCGTCTCGAGTCTTGTCTCGAAAACGAGACGAGACCATGCGAGACTCTCGAAAACGAGACTCTCGCGGGCACCACTAGTGCTGTCCCAAAGTTATCGTGGTCGGACTCTATCTAGTGCGTGAAGTCTTCACGGACGTGGTGCACACTATATACTTTTTCTACGACCTTTTACTTAGAGATTGAATTGAAGGAAAATTTGACTAATTTTCTTTATTACAATAATAATTATTATGAACAGTTATATTGCAATTTTGTGAATTGTCAAAATGTACATTTACTTTGTCTTTCTCTACAAGATTAGTGCTACCTAGACCAACGACCGGTGTGTGAATTTGTATTGACTCTTATGGCACCGGTGCATGAAATAAATCCCATAAGAAAAGCATGGCACTTCACACACCGATTCGTGAAATGAAGCTTTATACATTTTTATCGATGTGTGAAGTTAGTAATTCACATGAGGTAGTGGAAAAATTTATTTTTGATTTTCGATTCGCGTCCAAAAACAAAAAATCCCATTCTGTTTCAGTGGTATAAACATGTTCAGGATACTTTGTCTATTCCTATGTTCCTCTGCACTATCTTCTGTCGAAAGTTCCCCATTCGAATTAACTGAAGCGTACGTAGACAGCTTTTCAAAAGGTTTAGATGATTTGAAGAGAATTTCAGAAGAATATAAATATATACAAGAAGACTTTGTACCTGAAAAATATGATACTCAGCAATCACTTACAGGTGAGTACCTACCTCTTTATGAAGTAATCTTCAGCCTATATACAGTGTGTTATCACCGCTGTTGAACCTCTGATTTTGTAATGATGAACTCTTCTTTGTCAAAAATAAGCAGGTTTTGATAGGTACATTCAATAAGTATTTTTAGGCTGCAGGCTGTAAGACCTTGAGAAGGACACACTATATACATGTTTTCATTTTCACAGTTGTGATCATACATTTTGAGAATCAATTGACGATCCTTCATTTCATATTTCATTATTTTGAAATGTCAAGAATTCCAAGTAGGTACCCGTACCTAGGCATACAATAAGAATACGCTATGACCGTTTCTGAAAAATGAAGTTGATGATGGTTGCTAAAAGACGAAACGTTGGATCAGATAATCGATAATATCAATTGAGTCTAACATCAAAAGTCGCCGATGTTTCTTCACTTTTGTCATAACTTCATCATCAACGCCAGAAATAGAAAAGCCAGAAGCTCAGTTATTTAATATGAGCCTTCCATCTGCGCATATTTTCTTCCATTCACTTGAATTTGTATCTCTTGTAATTTCCAATATATCCAAACAAAGGCGCTGTAGCATCATTTTGAGAAGAAGTTCTATACACATTTTTTTCTACGACTACTACTGAAAATGATGGATATTGTACGCAAAACAATGGCAGTAAGCTTCTCCTTACACACGTGTGCGTAAAGAGAGCGATCGCACGGTTTTCATAGGTATGTTGATAGATGACTTTGTTTTGTCGATGTGTCAATAACAATTAACAATATCATTAATGTCACCACCTAGGTGAGTACGTACTTATCTTTTTATCAATCAATCTAGCTATCCACCGAAACCGAAAGCATCATGTAAGTTATATGTTTTGAAAATATGATTATTTTCTATTGATAATCCTCAATTTCAGTTAAAAAAAATGATTTCAAGCGATGACGATGAGCAAATTATTTCTACACCACCAGAAATGTTGGAAAAAGCTAGAATGGTAAAAAATGAGTTGCTACACGCTAAATCTCGTGAATGATACGAAATAGCACATCAAAAATTCCTGGACTAGAGAATTAGAAATAGTACCGTGTCATTTTCGGAAAATATCCTTTTAGTATATTTTCAAGAATTATCAAATTCGATGAAATCATCATAACTCTGGTCGATATATTCCATGTTACGATTAATACTCATTTCCTCAAAAGGGAAGGATGAATTCCGAAGTAAAAAATCAAAAATACTTAATGCTGAACAGATCTGTTATTTTCTGCAGAATGCTCCTGTTGAAGGTAATTTTTCAAATAACAGGAATAATTGAAAAAGATTAATCTTCGAAATTATATTTATAAAATATCAACTTTTACGTAGAAAGGGTGATAGCTCAGTTGTTGGAAGCGCTGGCTCCGAACCCGCAGGTCGGTGGTTCAGAGCACAGTTGGAGAACTTTTTTTTGTTATTTCTAATAACGATTACAGAATCTCTCGTGCTGCACTATTACAAATAAATAACCATTATGAATTTTAATTTTATATTTTTATACAATGTGTTTTTTGCTACCTATTAATAAAGCTGTTTAGATATGAAAAACGGCTCCATTTCAGTTCGACTTGAGGAAAATGTCTTGGTATGCAATGTATCAATAAACAAACACAAAAATTGTGATTTGTAACTCTTTATGCAGCTGGCTTAGTGACGGGAGAGGTTTTATATCAGTATTCGTTATTTGTGCCTTAATACAATATATCTGCACTATCCGGAAGAAAATATAATGTAGTCGTAGAAAAAGTATAGTACAATTCTCGAGTTGTAAAGCAATTACGCACTTGTGGAGTTACACACTCGCCGCTATGCGGCATCGTGTGTAACTCTCTCCACTTCGTGCGTAATATGCGTTCTACAACTCTTGTTATGTAATATACTATTAATCGTAATCAAATGAGATAGTATTGAACAAAAGTTTGGTTAAAAATAAATAACTAAGAACGATGGGTTTTTGTGTTATACAGATGCCAAGGAATACGACTTCATTGTTATCGGATCCGGGACTTCTGGATCAGTGATAGCCAACAGACTGACTGAGATTCCGGAATGGAAGGTGTTAGTTTTAGAAGCTGGACTACCGGAAACGGCGATAACTCAAGTACCATCTATGCAGAAACTCTTACAAACAACGCCGTATGACTGGAGATACAATACAGTATCGCAAAACCATTCTTGTCTAGGTAAGAATATATAATTGAAAAAATATATTCTCATATAAACTGCTCAACATTGATAACGTCGTGGTCTAACATATAGCCTGAATTCAGAGTAGAATAACTCTAGGGATCGACCGATACCGATATTTATATCGGCCTATCGGTGATATCGGCCTCATTGGCCGATTATCGTATCGGCCGATATCAAAAACCGATAGACCGATATATTTTTTTATTGGTAAAAAAAATCAATTTGAAAAATGAATGAAAAATAATACACTTCCATCAAAAATATATCTTTATTACCAATAAAAAGTATGTAACGTAAAATCAACTAAATTCTTCGACTAGTAATTAAAAATTAATAAAATAAAACCCTATGCGGATTGCAACTGTGAGGTAAAATTATTTCACCTTACTAAAATACAAAAATAATTTATTAATACTGATAATTTAGTTTTGGTAGGTTGTGATGCAAAAACAATAAGCTTTCTGCCCTATCAGGAGTTAGCCTGCTACGTTTTGCATCATAAATATTACCAGCTTCAGAGAAAACTTGTTAACGGCCGATAGACCGAGATATATCGGTAAATCGGTATTTGAAATATCGGTATCGGCCGATTATCGGTATCGGCTAAAATTTCTATATCGGTCGATCCGTTAATAACTCACGAATTTCCTTACCAATTTGGAATCGGTTTTCAACGATGATTAGCCTAATCTCTTGCCAGTTTGTTGTGGAAATATGAAACTTCTGTAATTTCAGATAACATTGCTACAGGGTGATAATTGAATGGGTGTAAAATTGCATCGTGGTCGTCACCTTACCGTTTGAACAGATAATTTTTTTTATTTTTTTTTCGCATCTGTATCCTCTTGATTGATGCTTTCTCTCGAAACATTTTCGGAATTTTCAAATTCAGAGCTTTGATAACCGTGTTATGAATATTCATTCAAAATGATGCATTTTTTTGACGATTACCTAATTGAATGAAATTGGAAGCTGGAATTTTTTTCGAAGAATCAACGTTGTATGTATAGTCGTCGGATATGTGATTGTGTTCGAACACAGAAAATTCTGAAGTAGTCTATACAAAGTGATACAAGAAATACTGAATGATAGGATGAAGAATAATGTAGTATTCAGTAGATGAAACAGAAGTTTCATATTGTCACAACAAACTGTCAAGACATCAGGCTAATCATCGGTGAAAACCGATTTCAAATCGGTAAGGAAATTCGTGAGTTATTCTACTTTGAATTCAGGCTATACATATTTTGGACCACGACGTTATCAGTGTTGACCAGTATATATTATATTATGAACATAAAAAATAAAATGGATAGGTATGTACATATTTATAATGAATACATTGAGAATTCAAATTCTCTATCTGATCAAAATATGAATTGCTTCTCGGTATATCTATTCAACAAAAAACTTTCATGAAGAAATATTCATGAATAACAACTCAAAAATTCGAAAACTCACACAGCTAACAGTCACAAAAAAACACCCTATATTAACAGATATAGCCATGAGAATATTTTTTCCAAGATTTCAAATGCCACCAGATGGAAAGAAAATTGATAGCGTGAATTTTAATCTGCGTGAAAACTTGAATGTAATCATCTGACATTGCGATGACATAAAAACTACGGGAAAACATTTCCAACTTTCAATCTAATCCAGGAGTTAGGAATGTTTTCCCGTCATCTCAATGTCAGATAAAGACAACGAATGGCAGCTTTTTTTCACCCAATTTTCCTAGCCTATTGGCAGATTTCAAGGTCATCAGATAACGTTGCGACGACATTCAACAAAATGTATGACTTTCAATTTATGCGAGAAATTAGGAATGTCATCTCCGTTGTTGAACGTCAGCTGATGACCTTGAAATCCGCCAATATCCTGCATCTCCCGAATGAACATTTAACATTTTTACAGGTATGGAGGAGCACAAATGTTCGATACCAGCAGCCAAAGCTTTCGGAGGAAACAGCGCCACCAATGAGATGCTATACGTGAGGGGCAACCCGAAAGATTACGACACTTGGGCAGATTTGGGATTGGACGGCTGGTGCTGGACCGACGTTCTGCCGTACTTCAAGAAGATCGAAGACGCTCATATCGCAGAGTTCGACAGAAAGCATCACAGCTTAGGTACCTATACAGTGCTTTTCTTTAATGTCCCCCGCCCCCTTTATTTAAATTCAAAAAGTTTAAATTGACGTATGAATACTATATTTCGGAGTAAAATCGACAGATTAAAATTTCAAGATGGCGGCTGGGCACCACCTGAAAAAAAAATAAATGGAAAGGGGGGTCTCGTGACATATTCTTTCGAAGCTCCTGACGAATACTTCACATTCGAGCCTAAATATTGCCACGATGGCGAGTCAAGAGCGTATAAAGTTGTTTTTTAGTTTGTTTTGCCAGAAGCGTGGTGGTCATTAGAGTGTGTTCCTTCCTATGAGCGAAAAGACCGGGGTTCGATCACTACTCCAGTTGATTTTTTTCGAAGTGATTAATCGAAAAAATACTATGGAATGGAGGCATTTATTGGTAAGGCCGATAGTGATTCGCTATTTCAATTATGTTCCTTCTCAGGATCGGCCGAAAATTTTCAGTTTCTCGCGCCCAGCGAGCAGCGAGTGAGGCGCAATATTACCAAAGTTTACAGAATTAATTATTCTGTAAACTTCGATATTACCTCGCTATGGTGCTATGGCTAGACTCTAGTATAATTCACCACTCTAGATTATATAGTCAATATCTTCATCAACTAAAAAATGGCGGAACATATTTGCCTGAATACAGGAACATCAATATCGATTCATTGAACAAAATTCAACAAAGAAACTGTATTTGAATGTGCTGGAAAATAATGTTGGCCCTCTAATCACCGAAATTGTCGAAGCAAATCCTAATTCCGAAATGGATATTGTATTGCAACAAGATGGAGCACCACCACATTACTCCAGAGAAGTGAGAAACTATATGGATAATACTTTACCCGGTCGTTGGATTGGCCGTCGGGGCCCTACGGAATGGCCAGTTCGCTCGCCAGATTTGACATTTCTAGACTTTTTTTATGGAGCTGTTTGAAGCAGAAGGTGTGCGAAACTGAACTTGCTTCAATATTGAATAATATAATAATAGGCAGAGAATAATGAATATTTGAAGAAATAATGACATAACTGTGTTTGAAACCGTTCGGCGTGAAATATCGTATAGGCTGTAGGCTATAGGCTTATGTCAAGCAGTTCAAGGCAACCATTTTGGGCATCTTTTTTTCTCAGATGGCACCCAGTCGCCATCTTCCAATTTTCATCTGCCAATTTTACCCCAAAATATAGTATATCCATGCATAAATTTCATTGTCCCAAGTTTAAATTTTTTGAGCTGACTCGTTCATAATATAAAAGGGAGGGAGGAAAATCCTTATACAACAATCAAGTGGGTACAAATACTTCGAAAAAAAACATTGAGAAACGGATGAATAACGAACCTTAGAAAACTTCTTCCAATATCACGGGAAAAAAGATTTTCAATGAAAACCTAGTAGGGAAGGTATCCTGTCAAGATCCACGTTTCTTTCAAGTTTGTAAATCAAAAATCCTAATGTCAAAATATGTTAACTATGTACAGGGTAATTCTTTATATTTTACTCAATAGCTATCTCAATTAATATTGGTCTTACAGAAACGTTCAAATAGGCAAAATTATATATGCATGCGCCCCTCGTCGGACCAATGGTTTAAAAATTTCGAAAGAACTCTGAAAAAATGCAATACGCATTTTTTGTGATTTCACACTGCATATTTTGTATGTGGGCATGTTGAGAAATCAACAAGTAACGTATTCGCGACGTATTCGTCACCTATCTATTTATGTGCCCATCTTTGGTAATCTAGACAACAGAACCGAGGAATCGGTCTTCAATTTTAGGATACAATCATGTATGGCTTCTGAAAGTTGACATCAAGAATGAAATATAAGCCCAGAACACAATATGAATGTTGCGATCATCATCAGGGTTGGCAAATATGATGATATTTATATATATATATATCAAAATATCAAAATATCATAATATCGGATATATATCCGATATATATCAGAAATTTCGATTTTGTTCCTAGGCTGATATGCCAAAAAAAAAACACAATATAAAATACCTTTATTTTGGTAAAAACAAAAATCAAACTTCAGTTTAATTCTCGGTTTAATTTGAAATAACAAAACACGAAACAAAAAATAATATTTTTCCGAAAATATGTAATATATGGTAATATAAAAAACTTGTCGTTTGATAAATTTCTAAGGATTGCAAAACCGAGAAAGAGGAATATAATCATCATTATCAATATTATCATCTTCACTCAAGGCAACTAATTCATCATTCGACGAGATCCAGTCCAAGCTTTTGGCTTTTTTATCTGTATTTGGGTTTAAACATTTAAAAATAAATACTAGCTTACTGGCTTTTTCGTTGCCTAGACGATTTCTCAATTTAGATTGAACTATTCCAAAACTCGAAAAAATTCTTTCTAAACCAGCTGTTGCCGCTACTGCACTGAATAACTGCTCACATAGTTGTAAGAAGAGTTCTTTTTTTGGCCATTTGGAGTCAGGAATTGCAACCGATTTCCACCAAATCATTGTATGCGTGAGGCCTGTTCGTTTGTATTGCTAAACTTGCTAAAGTTGATTCTTTTTCCATAGTTGTCTCTGTTCATGGCATGATGTAAACAAAGTAAGTCATAGAAAAAAATCGAGTTCAGCAGGTAGAGCAAGGACAAACGAACACGCCTGATGTACCATGTACCTAACAAGCAGTAAACAAAAACCGGGGATTCCCCGAGTTGTAAGTTATAACCACGAAACGCAATGTTGTCACGTATTCATTTTTAACGCAAAATATCAAGGACTTTTTGCTCCGGTATTTATTTTGTTAAAAAGAAGTAAATGATATATATCATGATATATATCAATCAATAAATATCAGATATATATCATGATACATATCATGATATATATATCACTTGATATATATCGGCCAACCCTGATCATCATATCACTGTCAATATAAAGCCCGAATCAAACAGCGTACGCTACAAATGGTGGTATCAAATCGAAAGTGCAGCCAATCATATCGTTCATGGCTTGATCAAATCGACGCCATCTGCAAAACATAATTGTTCAGACCCTCTAGGCTCCAAGGACTGAACGCCTTCATGCTCACCCTTTCGTCCCAGGACCCCTTTGGCTGGTCGAACTAACCTATACTCTCATCGTACAGGTGGTCCACTCCATTTGGAACCGTTCCAACACTCGACAGACTTGGGCCATCACATCCTACAAGCCGCCAACGAAATGGGCATCAAAACGGTCGACTACAACGGTAAAGACCAGCTGGGCATGGGCGTACCACAAGCCACCACCAAATACGGCAAGAGGAACAGCGTCGCGCAAGCGTACATGGTACCGGCAGAGAAGAGACGCAACTTGGACATTGCGCCGATGAGTCGCGTCGTGCAGATCCTGATCAGCCCCCACACCAAGGAGGCTTACGGGGTCAAGTATCTGCACAATGGACACCTCTACGTTGCCAAGGCTTCCAAGGAGGTTATAATCGCGGCTGGGGCAATCAATACTCCTCAGTTATTGATGATCTCTGGTAAGACTCCATTAAAGGATACAGATTACTAATTATAATTACAGAACAGCAAAAATAATTGGGGATGCTACTGCCAGGCAAGGAGGCCCTCATTATCCCTTTTTGCCAACCCCTTGCTCTCCACATATCTACACATCCCTCTCCTAGTTGCCCTTTCTGGACCTTCCTTACCTTGATTCGATTCCCTGTAGTTTATCTAACCCGAAAGTTTCTTTTATACGCCTCACACTCTCCAAGGAAGTGACGTTTCCTTGTAGTCTTCGCATTCACGGCAAGTGGGGCTATCCTTTACAACTTATTAACGCTATGTGTCTGCGCTACCTTTTGTGTCAGGTCAGTACCCTGCCAAGCAATTACGCCGTTTTCGACTTTCTTGGATCAGTCACTAGGTTTTTTAAATGCCTGCAACAGCCTTGGCTTCTTGCAATGCCCATTAGAGACTTCGGTTCTCAGAACGGTGTCGTGGATCTGATTCTAGCCAGTTCAGCTAGTTTCTAAAGAGCATTACCGGATTCCTAGACCAGAGCTAGTTAGTGGTGGCAGATATACCTTCGAGCGCTGCTTGACTATCCGAGCAGATGTAAATCTTCTACTCTCTCAGCCTGAAAATCTGTAGTACATCATCCTGAGGCATAGCTATTTCTCTCATACCTCTTCCTTCTAGATACATTCCTACACCAGAGTCCTGTTTGTCAGTAAGTCCCTTGGCTAAAATCCACTCTGTTCTCTTTCCATTCTTCTCTGCTCAAGATAGTAAGCGTAAATCTTCTATTCCATCTCAATCTATTTCCAGCGCTCTTCACTCAGGGTGGACTGGTGGAGATAGGAATCTACTACACAACCCATTTTTCAATTTCCGCGTGATCTATCAATGCTCCTTCATGAACCCAGCTTCCAGAGTCCCACAGCCTCAGATAGGTCGCCATTACTTATCTCCTGATCCAGATTGGAATCAAGGGCACCCCCAGGAGTACCTCAAGCGCTGCAGTTGTCGTCGTCCTCTGAATCTTACTTTGCTTTCGACTAATCGAGCAAGTTTCTGCGCCTGGTCACCACATAACTGATCGGTACTGAACCTTCGGTCTTACGATGAATGTGTATTGCCAGCGCTACAGAGCGATTTCGGGCTTTTGGCCCTAGTCAATGTAGGGTAGTCGCTAGACAGAAGTCTGAAGACCGCAGCTGCTCCATTCAATTATCTCGGGTTTGCCCACTAATTTGTCATCATATCATCCCTACTCGCTCACACTTTCTACATTACTTGATGTTGATAGAATATGATTGATTTAGGCTATATCATTTGAGCAATCTGAAGTTTCAGACCTTACCCTTTTGTGGTAATAGTTCGGATGAATCCTTGCCAGGAATATATGGGGTTATGAGTATGACTCTCCTGTTGTCACTAGTTGTACCTTTGTGTTCGCAGGAATTGGACCAAAGGAAGATCTAGAAGCACTGAACATCCATCCAGTAGCCGATCTCAGAGTAGGAAAGAATCTCAAAGACCAAATCAGCTTCGTCGGTCTCAATTTCTTAGCCAACAAGACAACAGAAACCGAGAAGGAAACGAAAAAACACGCGGGAGTGATGGACTACCTCAAAAGTGGCAAAGGACCGCTGACGACACCAGGAATAGAGGTTGTCGGTTTCATCAAAACTGAAGCTTCCAAACAAACATTGGATTGTCCAGATGTTGGTCTTCTCGTCACCAAAGGTATATTACAATTCCATTATCATTGAGTTTGTTAATCAATAGTATGTTATCTAGAAGACCTACACCAGAAGGCGATGAGGATCAAGAAAGAAATCCACGAAGCAATCTGGTCCCCCCTCGAAGATAAAGACGGTTTCACAATCAAGGTCAACCTCCTGCACCCCAAATCGACAGGCTCCGTCACCCTCCACGACAACGACCCTCTCCACCACCCTTTGATCAACCCCAACTCGCTCACCGACCCAGACGACCAAGATATGGAGAGCTTGCTGGCCGGCATCCACCAAGTCCTCAAGCTGTCTCACACCGAGGCTTTCCAAAAGCTAGGCGTCCTACTGAACCACAACAAAGTGCCTGGATGCGAAAAAGAAAAGGATGAATACTGGAGGTGTGCTATAAGGCATCTCAGCGTTAATCGAGGCCAGGTGAGCGGAACGGCCAAGATGGGACCTGAGAGCGATAAGGAGGCCGTGGTGGATAACAAGTTGAAGGTGCGCGGGATACACAAGCTGAGAGTGGCAGATGCCAGCGTCATTCCAGTGACCATTTCTGGCAATCTCATGGCACCTGCGATCATGATCGGGGAAAAGGCTGCTGATTTGGTGAAACATGAATGGAAATAGAGCTATTAAACATAACAATTCAATTAAATCATGTACAACTGTTGTCTTGGTAATATTAATTATATTCTTGAGGAATTGTATTGTTCCCTCATCTACTCTCCAGCAATAAAATGATGATTTCATGATTATGAGTTTCAATGAAAACCGATCGTGTTTCAATACATTCGAACGAACTGCTAATTTCTGAACAGTGAGAACATGTCACGAAGGAATAATAAACAAAAAAAAGTAGGGAGTAAAACATATTCTCTCATCATATAGACCTAGGAGTTCTTTCAACCCTCACCCATAGAGCCTGCCCAACGCATTCTTCGAACAAATGGAATGAACAATGAATAATCTGAAGTCAAAAACTTTCACCTTCATGTAATAATTATACAGTGGCTCTTAAGAGGCATTTCCAACATCACTTTGAAGTAATGTAGCGAAACCTATTTTGCCATTATTGATTATAATACTTCATTTTCAATCATCTAGTAAATCTGGATGAGTTGCATAGACTTGCTTGTTCGAATATCATCAAATCTGGCGACCTAGGTGGCCACTACGTCATCAACCTTTCATATTTATCAAACAACCAGGACATCTATTTATTGATGGACAGTCGCAAGAAATTTTGAGATGGAGGTTTCGCCGTAATTTTGTCAATAAAATAACATTGGTATTGATACTATATCTCGTTGAAAGACTCGCCATTTTTCAATGAAATATTTTCAATATCCGACGTTTCACGCTTTGTAGGGAGTGAGGATACAATTGTCATGTATTCGAACAGCAGGATAGAATATGCAATAGTCGGCTATTTGTCATGGTCTCGGGATATTTCCTATGACTATCGCACCAGTATATACTTACATAGATTTGAAAAAATATATATTATTAGAAAATGGTTGAAACATCATTCAGTATAATAGTCGATATTATACATAAAATATACCTGAATAAGGAAGCAAATGAAAAACGTTCCTTCAGCAATTTGACAATATCAATGAAATAACGTATAACAAATTATTCACTATAGACTGATGAGTAACTTATTTGCTGTTATGGGTGATAGTAGTTGTTGATTCAAATGAGATGTAAAAATGTTAGTGAATTGGGAAATATCTTAATTATTTCGCAAAACTAAAAAAATGAGTCATCAGTATCCCTTGCTCAATGCAAATCATTATCACCACTCAACCAGTAGTTGACATAGTCTTCAACCTCATTGAGATTTCTTTATCTCATGAAACTATGAGAGACAATCACAAAAAATTTGGAGAACATCCACCTGCTCGGTTAACCTACAGATAGTATTGTTCAAAATACTCTTCACGTGCTCTTATTGTTCCTATTTTCAGATGTTTGTATCCATTACAACGAACTGAGAACATGAACATGAATAATTTATAATAATGTGATGGAGTTGTTTTCACTCTGGAAGAAATCTAATTTTCAATTTGAAGGCATTCGACCTTGAACCCAAAAAATATTTCCTGCGACGCCTTTTTACCATACAATAATGTTGTCTGAGTTTCTTAACCCTCTCTTGGTTCACACTGAAATGGAATTGTTATCACTCCGATCTAATTTTCAATCTGAAGACATTTGACCTTGAAACAAATAAATTTCGCCTGCGGCGCATCTTCGCCGTCCGTAAACTTTTTAAGAGTTTCTTGACCCCCTTGTATTTGATGTAATGACGCCCCTGGAACAAAGAACTCACAACGAATGCCAGCCAACGCTGCCGATGAAGATTTTTGCCAAAATTACTTCCTGAAAAAACAACAATCCAGTTGAATTCAATACCACTAAAACTCGGGTCTGTATTTCCTCTATAGAGAGGCAATACTCAGTATGCCTGATATAACAATGTCTGGTACCACCATTCCCACCAAGTCTACCATATGCTCGGTATTTACATCAATGATTCTCTTTTATGGGAAGATCATGTCAGATCTATCCCCCTCTATAGAGAAGCAATACTCAGCGTGCCTGATATAACAATGTCTGGTACCACCATTTCCACCAAGTCTATCAATGAATCTCTTTTATATGGGGAGATCATGTCAGATCTATCCCAAGAGCTGCTTACCTCCAAAAGTACACAAAAATCCGATACCAACCATCTCTCCCTATCCTCCCAAGGTACTAGTTTCTCGAGAATAATAGGGATATCCTTTCGTGTGTTGCATAACATAAAAAGTGATATTTTCTAACATCAATTAACTAAACCTAGAAAAAAGGCTATGCTGTCTTCGGATTTGAGAAATTGCAGGATAAAGAAATTGTCATTTCATTTTTATGTATATTGTAAGAATAAACTTTCATGAAATTAGTTGTCTTTTTTACGGTTACAGAATCGGATCACCTTAATCTAATAGCACATAATTATACAGAAAAGGAAGTTGAATTGACTGCATCTGATGGTATATGAAAACACAAATTTCAAAAATATGATTATTGTGCACTTGATTTTTTTCTTCTGATGAAAGGAGTAGTTAATATTTTGAGAGTAATATCCGTTACCTGTATTTTTTCATAAAACGGAAATGAGAAAAATCGGAAGTATCAGAACCGGAATTATGTTTATTCATCTTTATGAGAACAATTTCCAACAATTCTTTGTGTTTTCATAAGGAGCTAGTATTTGCTTACCACAATAAGTATCTAGAAAACAGGACACCATTCCTTCAAATCGCCAAAGGTCTCTCATAAATTCTATCGGCTAGAATTTATTGGGAACATACCTGTAACAAAAACAAAACATCTTAAGTACACGGTGTGAACCAGCCAAATGAAATAAATTCAATGTCTCCCAAAAGTGCACCAACTATACAAATAACACCGAAAATATAGGTCTGCGAAAAAGCATACGTTAAATAATCATTTCAAGAATACCTCCACTTCATCACATGTTCAGTTGATAATTTTGGGATTTCGTACACGAGAGCAGCATATACAAATTCTTTCCGCGGTTTAATTTTTTTTCATTTCAACAAAAACTAATCATCATGCGTTTACTAATCGATCGAGCACAGAAGATAATTGTCTATAGGACATGTTGAAAACCTACAAAAATCTGCACAAAATCTGTTAATTACGGCGTCTGAAGTAGCCGGCTCGGGTTTAATTCTCGCGAGGAATTACTTTCCATCAGAGTTTATTTCCTCAAGTACTTTTTCGAAAATTGTACTTCCTAGAAAAAAGGTTCATTATATAAGCCGAGTTAGGTTAGATCGTTTGAAAAAAGTAGTCTTCTTTCTTATGCAGAAAGGATAATTTCCGAGATATTGGGACATGGGAATTTTGGAAAAAAAACCGCCACAGTAACGGTATCCTAATCTCCACATTGTCAGCGCCATCTAATGACACAACATTCAACTCGCGCAAAAATATACCAGATTAGATGCTTTCAAAGCGACTGCTGCGACGGTACCTCCATCTAACAGACAGTTCCTGAACTACGATATTCCATGAATTTTCCTACGATCTAAGTTATACAATAAGATGTTTTTGATCTTTTGCAGTTTCTTAATCGAACGAAATTTGCCTTCAAAACTATACAAACCCACGTCGCAACTTTCGTCTTTATAACAAATCAATCTTTTTGACAATCGGAATTTTGGTAACACAGAAAGTTAATTGATAATTAATAGAGGTCTGAATTCCAGCCATTATGGAATGACCTTGGTTACGGTCCCCTTAAAGTTTCTAGAAGTGAAATTTTAAGCTCAATGACATCTATGGAGCAATCCATCTGATTTTTCCTCACTACAAGTAAAGTAAGTTATAAATACTAATATTTTCATTTATAGAAAGTAGGAGAGAAAATCCCAAAAATAAAAAAAGGCATTCACAAAACTCAACATTTTATTTTCAAAAATATAATTGTAGATTATGAACCCAGGGACTTACGTGGCACTTTTAATCCCGATGCGAGAAGTTTGCTGAGGAATCAAAAAGAACTTTCGTCTAGTGGTTCATTATACCACACTTCTCCAAAATATTAACGCAGCACCAGAAAGTATCCAAAAGTTTGAGACACATTTTCGTCAAAACCACTTGTCCGATTTGGACATAATATATGCAATAAGCATCATGAGCACTTAATTAGCAGGCTATGGTCTGGGGAGGCATTTCTCTGATTGGAACATGAAACTCATTAAAATAAATGAAAGCCTTACAGCTGAAAGACACATATTGGAGATTTTTGAATTTACATTCAGTGTAAGGATTTTTGTTGATGCAAGATATGCCATCTATATAGAAGAAGTCGGTATCGCCATACAGATGGCATGGCCAGCTCGCAGCCCGGATTTGAATCCCATTGAGAATCTCTGGAACATTCTTCGGACAAGATTACATGAGGAACGTAACTTGAATACTTTGGAAAACGCACGGCAGAGACTGACTCAGATTTGGGAAGACCTGGATTGAAATGACATAAATCTCTTATTTCGAATAATAGAAGAAGTTATTCTTGTCTGGGGCGAAAATACTAGCTACTGATCCTTTCGTTCAACTTGACCTTGCCTTCTGTTTCTTTTTTTCGTTGTTAAATTTGGATATTAATTTTCCATTAAATCATGTTACGCTATAAGATTGTGTTTCTCGAGTAAAAGAGTAAAGATAATGAAGTGAAAGATTACACTCTACATCAGGATATTACAAATTTCGTGAATAAAAATACGCTATAATTGCTGCACCCGGTGTTCAAAAAAATGTTTTATGCCTATACAGTTTACACGCCAAAGTTCAGAAGGAGATAAAAACTGTTATTCAACTTTTGGCTACATTTTATGCAAATCAGAAGTGGAACTAAAAATAAAATAATCAAGACAATAATAAGTGACTGGTAGCGCTACTCTTGTTTTAATATGTCAACTTGGCTGACTGATAGATGGTTATCATGATATTGTTGTTAACAACGAAAAGTGATTTGCTATGGCGTTTGGAAAAAAAATACATATTTACTTTTATGCCTCGAGGGATGAAAATTGCTATTTCAGTCCCTCGAATGAGGAATCAGAAGTACACTTTTATAACCTGAAGTGAATACAATTTCTTGTGGCGCTTCACTGGATGAAATAACCAGATCTTAATCTTAATCATAATTTCAATGAAAATTGTGCAGATCTTGAGCATTGAAATTCAAATGTTGATCAGTTCATCATAGTTGAATAATAATTATCTGATCTCTTGTTTCGATTGACTGAACAGATGCATTCAGAAACTACATTACCCATTAGAATGTATTTATATTTTGTCCTCGTGAAAATGTTTTCATTACCATAATCATTTCTCACCATTGAAAATTGAATTATTTGCAAATTCAACTACCTATTCATATCTTCCCGATTAATTGTGATAATTATTATCATAACACAAAAAGAGAGATAACACAATACAGGGTGAGAACGTTTGACAACTTTTTTTTATGTAGCACTACACTTATACAGTGTGTCCCTAGACCAGTGGGACAGTTGAATATCTCCTGAACCAATAGGAATTTTCGAAATATTATAATTCCACATCATGTTGCATCATGAGTGCTTACTTCAGGAATGACTAAATTTTATACGAGGGGCGCAAGAAAGGCTCATAAAATCAAACATCAATTATTTCAAATGGAACACCCCATATATTTCAACATATCTGAATTCTCATTCCTTTAGGCTAATTATCAATTTTTTATTTTTGAAAATCCGACAGGGCGTTGCCAAGTTATACCAGGGGCGGCGAGTTTTGTTTTGCCCAATGGGTGCCAAAATGGAGGGGTTAGGGCAAGGCAACAAAAAATGCGCCGCAGGCGAAAATTTTTTATGGCTCAAGGTCAAATGCCTTCAAATTTGAAGATAGCTTGATGCAATATTGATTCTGCATTACGTGTGAAACACCCCTACTAGAATATAATGTTTTTTGACTAATCGGGTTTCGGGTCTGTTGTTAATATCAACATAAACAAAGGTACATCTTCGTTTCGGCCAATGGGTGCATTGCACCCATACCTATGGTCTACATGGGTGCATTGGCCCCGATGCCCACATGCACTCGCCGCCCGTTATACCAGTATTTCATGAAATGCAGACATTTTTTTAGACAAATCCATTATTCATACTACTAAGAATTTATGGAATCATTCAAGACTGTTGGAAGTCGGTGGCATATTCTATCATATGAAATACTCATCTTCTTCGAAAGTTATACAGGGTGGTCAGAATTATATGATTTTCACGAAAGTCAAACTTTATTCACATCAATTTTTCAAATAGTGCACCCTACAATATGTATAATTTCATATCCCATGCATTGGTGGTTTGATTGCTTATGGTCAATAGTTGTGAAAGAGAGATGTGAATTTCATCATCAGCAAATGCAAATAAAAAAATGCAGTAAACTATTTATTCAACTGTACTTAACTACTAAAAAACAGTCCCAACAAGAAAAAACTGACTTAACGAATAATTAGGCACATCTCTCTTTCACAACTATTGACCATAAGCAATCAAACCACCAATGGGTTATAAAATTATACATATTGTAGGGTGCACTATTTGAAAAATTGATGTGAAGAAAGTTTGAGTTTCGTGAAAATCCTATAATATTTCTGACCACCCTGTATAACTTTCGAAGAAGATGAGTATTTTATATGATAGAATATGCTACCGACTACCAACAGTTTTGATTCATTCCATAAATTCTTAGTAGTATGAATGATGGGTTTGTCTAAAAAAATGTCTGCATTTCATGAAACACTAGTATAACTTGGCAACGCCTTGTCGGATTTTCAAAAATAAAAAACTGATAATTAGCCTAGAGGGATGAGAATTCAGATATGTTGAAATATATGGGGTGTTCCATTTAAAAAAATTGATGTTCGATTTTGTGAGCCTTTCTTGCGCCCCTCGTATAAAATTTAGTCATTCCTGAAGTTAGCACTCATGATGCGATATGATGTGGAATTATAATATTTTGAAAATTCCTATTGGTTCAGGAGATATTCAACTGTCCCACTGGTCTAGGGACACACTGTATACTGATTGTCTTATAGAAAGCGCCGAGCAAGCTGCCTCTCCGCCATTCAAAATCCGATTTCTCATTTTTTTTCATCTCTTGAACATCAACTGGACCATCAAAAAAGAACTCTAGAAGAATTCCAATCCCGTACAATCCCAAGTATACGAAGGGACTTGATAAGGTTTTCAAAGACTTAGGTTTTGAAAGCGTTTATCAGTCTGGGTCAAAATTAGGCAATTTATTAGGCAATCCGAAAGATAAAGTGGACACACTTGAAAAGTCGGGAATATACGAAATAAGTTGTAATGATTGTGATAAAACATACATAGGCCAAACCAGGCGACCCATAAAAACAAGGTTCAAAGAACACATAGCCCATTTAAAATATGGCAGGTTGGATAAATCTTGTGTAGCCGAACATAATGTTCAATCAAAACACACATATTACTAACCTCAAATTAGTTAAGCAAGTTAATAACATTAGAAAACTAGACGCATATGAAAGCTTAGAGATATTTAAGAATAGTAATAGAGTAATGAATAAGGATAATGGACCTATTCCATATAGCCCTCTATATAGTTTAGTAAAATAAAAATTAAGATTAACATGTGAACTCAACCATGCCAAACATTAACTTGACGGTTAGTAGGTATTTTTCACTGTTGGGTGAACATATACCTAGTATATAAGCAGCACACTAGAATAGGATATTTAGTTTTAATCTTCTCCTGAAGATGCTAACATAGTTAGCGAAACACGTGTCGAGGCGTTAAAAAATCGGTTTGGTTAGTGGTAGAACAGTGTAGTGTATTATGGTGCCAAAGGTTCCAGTCTTTGATATAAATACATATAATGAATCAATTTCATGTAAGAAGAACATATCGAATGATAATTTCGATTTTTCAATTTTAATCAAGTTGTAGTATCGATATTCAGAAATTGAAAATTACACAATAATTCAGATGTCAATCACCCTGTGATGAAGATCAGCTTTGGTTGATTCTGTACATGGTTGTTGTACCTATAGGTTGAACTGAAAAACTGCTAGCAGAAAATTCTGATTCATTTGTCTTTTCTTGGAGATATGGGTAGATGAAAAGTGGGCATTTCTCAACTTCATTACCTTGTGTCTCAAAAACTGGTCATAGGATCGGATTGGAACTCGGCATGTTTGATCATTAGGTCGAGTTCTATAATATACCACAAATTCAGGAAATTCGACAGAACGCCATTTTTATATAAAAAAGTGCGGGGTCCTTTTGATTTCATTTGATTTGGGTCAGCTATAATCAATAAAATGATCGAAGTAAATTCAATATTTGGTATGTACTGTCATACCTTCAGCTTTATTTTAGTAAGTAGCGTAGCAACTTGCGCAGGGTACAGCCAGTTACTTATGAAATAATTTTCATCCATTAACCAAATAGGTGAATGTCGACCTTACTTCGGATCTCAGACTAATATGACTTAGGATGATAATGGTTATTCGAAATGACAATCGTAATTTAGTTTTAATTGTTTTGTGGTCGATAGGTAACTTTCGAGAAGTATATACACATCGACATCTGTTCTAAGAATAAGAGTAGGTGGTTTTCCAGCAACCAACGGGTATTCACAACAATTATCTTTAGTCAAAATTTCATATTTACGACTATTACTGAGTAGGAATTATACTTGTAATTTTTGCAATTAAATGCCTTGTATTATTCCCTTAGGGATGAATGGAGTGCAAAAAGAAGAGTATTGATCGCTTGTCATTATTCTCTAAGGGAATACTAATCTTTTGAACGGTTGATAATCAGCTATGAGGTCATTGCAGTGATCTTCATTTCGGTCTTGTAACTCTTGACGTGAATTTACCGCTTATGTTACAACCAAACTGTGAAGTCAATGTTTATGGTTGAGCCTATAACAATTATTTTTTTCAATACCTATTTAGAATACGGATGCCGTTGAGAAAATTTTTTACTTGAGCAAACCCATCTTATTTTGCGATGTTCTTCCTATCCTAGCAACGAAGAAAGTGTTTTGAAACACCCTGTATACTCTTCGTCCGCAAGAATTTCTGTCTCAAAGTTGTATCTAGGCTAGTATATAGTGGATAACCCGCCTGAATTGAACACCCGGTTTATGAAAATCATGAATAGCTTTCCCCTTTTTGGATTCTGAGGTCTAACCTCGGGTCTAACACAATAGATTTTTCCATTTTCTGTCGATTCACACCAGCAGAAAACCGTGGAAAAACCTAATTAGCCAAAGAGGTCACGTCTGAACATCGAATGGAGACTTGCGACCTATAAAGCTTCAATCACAAATCGGTCCCGAATCAGTAACTTTTCCTAGTTCCATCTGTGAAGATGGCTCATCGGTCGTTGTTATTGTTGGTGGCAAGTTTGTTGTTGTTGTCGACAATATGGACGGTTGACGCGGAGTTCTCGCCTTTCGATATGGTAGATGACTACGTTGGAAACTTCAGATCTAAATTGGATTTGTTGAAGAGGAAGTCACTGGAGCAGAGGATTTCACAGGATTTTGATTTTCTCATGCACAATGAGACGCTGGCGTTCGGGGGTGAGTTTTCGCACTCAATGGGGAAGTTTCCTACGCTGACCTTTGCAAGATGTATAACTTTCATCCATTTAACCCTTAACCACTAATCATACGTCTCAGAGACGGCATATCAGCATCCGATTTGTTGGTTTACTCCTGCTTTTCAATATCGGGCATTGTCCTACCACGTAATTTATGTCCACCTAGCACTCATTCAGTACCCTGAAGTTGATCTATGTATGTGGTGTAGTTTCAGAAATATCTTGAGTGAAAGATAGATTGCCGTCTCGTAGACGTATAGTTAGTTATGAGGTAACAATAAAAGTTCCATTTCGCCTATAATACGTATGATAGCGTCTATATCTAGATATACAGGCATTGTCATTCTTTTCAATTTGCATGTTCAAGACTTAGTTCTGTGCCATATTATATTACGACTCTAACTGTATTCAGAATGAAAATTATATCATCGATAATTTCAGTATTTCGTTTCTATTTTAGTATTTCTATTGATCAATGTCAAAATGTTGAACATTAGCTACTCCTCTATGCAATTTTGATCGCTACTGAAATTTGTATTTCTATTTCAATTCTGCTGAACGTCATTTTCTTTTCGCCGAATATGTACAGAACGTGTTTGAATAGCTCAGAAGAATAAAATGAAAAAAATTTGGATTTATATTGACATTTAACTAATCCCGTCTGTAAGACGTATGGCAAGTGGCAACGTTATATATTTGGAACGTTATAGTAGTTAAGGGTTTTAAGATTCACTTTTGGTACCAATCATTGATGAGAACCATCTGAATGGTCGAAACATGTCTCGAACCTTTCTGAAGCAGGATTGACTGCATATTTTCGCCAATTAATTTTGTGGAGACGACTTCGAGATTTTTCTTTCTCAAAACATCATTTTCCTTATCACGTTTGAAGTTCTTGAATGAAGAGCAATTTCATCCAATCAAGCAAATGATAGTTTTCTTATTCAGCAATATGGTAGTTTCAATAAAACACCTCATTTCATTCGTCCAATCTTATCAATTTCTTGTTATGGAATGAGCTGCAGTGATTAATGAGAATTTTTCTACGACTATCGTATTCTACATTGAGTACATATAGGTTAGTAATTGATGAATGAAGATGATTCCAAGACACCGTGGATCCCAACTCATTATTCAACGGCACTCGACCAATCACAGATTCAGAATTTTCAGGATCCACAGCAACTGAAAAGGTTAGACTAATGAAAAACCAGCAAGTCTACCAAACAATTTCTCAAGAAGGCTCTGCTTCATTTTACGGGTCACGTCACGGCTTGACTTTCGCGAATGCCAGATTGACTTATAGAGTCTTTTAAGTTTTAACTTTGATATCTGGAGGATATAATGGAGGCTTGCCGTTCCATAGAAATGTACTCTATAAATATTGAAGATATTCAAGATCTTGGATCTGCATGGATGATAACTATTCCTGAGACCAAAACAAAAATTGTAAGGAGGTTCACTGTAACCGGAAAATTTTATCAATTTTGTAAAAAGTACATTGATATACGAGCAGCAAATGTTGTGATTTCCAATTTTTTCATGAATGACCAAGAAGGAGAATGTACTCTTTAGAAAATTGGAATCAATAAGTTTGCAGCAATGGGAAAACAAATAGTTACATTTTGGAAGCTACCAAATCCCGAGATGTACACCGGGCATTGCTTTGCTTGTCAATGCAGGTGGAGGTATAACAGCATTGAAAAGACATGGTGGCTGGAAGAGCACATCGGTGGCAGAAGGATTTCTAGAAGATTCCATGTTGAATAAAAAAAACGGCAGATTCGAATTCTTCAATGAATCGAATAATGTTCATCGTCATCAAATAACAGTTTCTTCACACAAAAAACATCAACTATAGCAATATGAATAAAAATGTCAGTGTTGATTCAAATGCAACACCGACATTAAATTTCACGAATTGTGAGAATATCACTGAAAATTTAGTCACTAAGTATGAGAAACATAATTTACTGACCTAATAATTATTGTGTTGTTTCATCATTGAGTTAGTTGAATATTAAAGATTCCTGTCAATTGTATTATAATATCATTAAAATTCATACATCAAGTTTATTATTTTCATAATATTTTCATAAATAATAATTAGATTATATCAAATTTCTGACTATCGTATAGTCGTAGAGAAAGTATAGTCTTTTACTCGCGTATAATATCTATTATTCTCTCGGATAATTTCGAAACTCGCCTACGGCTCGTTTCGGAATCATATCCTCGGGAATAATAGCTATCATTATACGCTCGTTGAAGAATATACTATTCTGTTATTCGATTTGAGAAAAGTACTCTTCAAATGACGCTTGGTCGGAGGCTACTGAATTGGAAATAAAAAATTCTTATATCAAGCAATCGTTTATTCCAGTATATACAGGGTGATTCACGGTGGACGGCCTATTCGAAGTATCTGGAGAACGAAAAGACAGAACATTCTGAAAATTGGGATGCTTCGATAATTGAACAATCTCTATCCGTCTGAAATATTTTCATCGATACAGTGTTGCCACTTTTATCAGAAACAACTAGCAAATTTGTTATTTCAAATGGAACACCCTGTATTTCATTGCATTCTTAGATTCTTCCTGAAGAGCTGATTTCATCAATGTATCACACTTGGGGTCAAGCAGGAATGATTACAGAGATATAGGGTGTTCAAAATCGAGATTTTTCAATTTTTTTGTGTCGAAACTATTCATTCACTATCTACTGGAATTTAATTGGAAAAAATACAGGGTGCTTCAAGAATTCTGATCACCTTGTATCTGTTCCAATTAAATGTTAGTAGATAGTGAATCGAAAGTTACGATAGGGACATGTGGGCCGTTTTAATCGATAATGAAATGTTTCGACACAAAAAATCCAAAAATTGAAAAATCTCGATTTTGAACACCCTATATCTCTGTAATCATACCTGCTAGACCCCAAGTGTGATGCATTGATGAAATCAGCTATTCAGGAAGAATCTAAAAATGCAATGAAATACAGGGTGCTCTATTTAAAATAACGAAGTTGCTAGCTGTTTCTGATAGAAGTGGCAACACTGTATCAATGAAAATATTTCAGACGGATAGAGAATGTTCAATTATCAAAGCATCCCAATTTTCAGAATGTTCTGTCTTTTCGTTCTCCAGATACTTCTAATAGGCCATCCACCGCGGATCACCCTGTATAAACAAGCCATAATCTTGATTCAAAGCATATTTAATTAAAGGAAGAAATTATTTTTATGTGTGTTTATTGAGGTTTTTATCTCACTGCGATGTTGGTATATAAAATTAATATTTACGTATTTTTTTTTCTTTAGTAACCACTCCACTCCACTCCACCATTCCTATGACTTAAGGTGGATTCATGCAACATCAACTAAATTATAATGAATTTAAGATTTAAACGAAATTCAAATTGAAAATATATGGGTGTTCATGGAATAACCTTTCATCGGTTGTTTGATCTTTTTCCAGCGCGGCTAATGGCAGGGCCTACTCTATCGCTTTCGTGACGTCACACTAGTAGGGACAAAATCAAAGCAGTGGAAATTGTCTCTCCCGTTGCATTGATGTACCTAGGAAAAACGGTTACAGTTAGCAAAAAATATCAAGAGGTCAAATAATATGTACAAAACAGAATTTTCCAGAAGATGAATCAACTTTCACTGATTTTCGGTCATTAGTTTCAGAAATATCGCATATACAGTGTGTCCACCTTAAGGACTTACCACCCCTGTAAAACCGTTATTATGCGACCAATTTCAAAAAACCTTTTTTTGTTGGATAGGTATTTGAAATGCCCATCCAACGAGAGAGTGATCTAATTCTTGGACTGTTATCATGGCCAACTGCGACAAATTTCAATGACCCATATTCCAGAAAGTACTATTAGGAATTTTTTTCCGCGAAACTTGATGATGGATTCTGAATCAGTACCACTTGAAATATACCTGTACCGATTCTCATCATCATAAAACACAGGGTGTCCGAAAAACGAATCATCGTTTTCTTCAAATATAGGTGATCAGCAAATGTAGTTCTGTGGTTTTTCTAGAAAGGAATAACCACAAATTATCATTGAGGATTATTTCAAATATACCTATACCAATTTTCGTCATTTGAATAAACAATGTGTCTGAGAAAAAAATTAGAAACGATAGGTAAGCAATATTTTTCATCCTGATAATTCTTCACTCAAAATAGGAAGATGAACCAGGATCACTTGAAACATCCCTGTACCGATTTTCATCATCATTAAACACAGGGTGTTCGAAAAATCAAATTAATATTTTTTTGAGTTCATGAAAAAATATTGGCTACTTTTCCTTTTTGATTGTTTTCTCATACACATCGTATTTTTGAAAGATGAAAATCGGTACAGATATCAAAGTGATCCTCAATAATAATGTGACATCAATTCTTTAAAAAAAAAACACAATACTACATTGATCACCTATTAAAAAAAAACAAAATTCGTTGTTTCAGACACCCTGTGTTTTATGATGATAAAAATCAGTAAAGGTGTTTTTCAAGTGATCGTGATTCAGAATCCATCATTGTTTTTTGTGAAAAAAAATCCCTAATAGTACTTTCTCAAATATGGGTCAATAAAGTTGGTCGCAGTTGGCCACGATTACAGTTCATGAGTAAAATCATTCTCTTGTTGGATGGACATTTCAAATACCTATCCAACAAGAAAACGTTCTTTGAAATCGGTCAGATAATAACAATTTTACAGGGGTGGTAAGTCCTTAAGGTGGACACACTGTATATCAAAATTAATTGACGCCATTCAGAATTGCCCTTTTTTGAACAGCTACCAAAATTCCAATATTCAATTCACAGAAATGATTCAATCATGAGAAGATTTCTCATCGTATCTAGATTGACTGAGTTTTTTTTAATTCCCAAGAGCCAATAACAAACCGATATTTCAATTCAAGTAGAACGATTTTTCAGGTGTTCTTCACAGAATAGTTCAAAAAGTTCGGACGCCTCCCATGCTAATCCTATCAAGTGTGGATATATGCTGTCACTGGCTTTTTTGTAGGAAATTTAATTGCTTAAGATGATCAGGACGCACTTTGATAACGTTAGAAATCATATCACTCGAGTGTTTTATTACATAAGAACTCCTATTCGGTATTAATTATTTTCTGCTGTAGTGAAAATATTTCAAGGATTACGTTAAATTCATGAAAAAAATTTGATATGGATATATTTCCAAACTATCAAAATAAAAAAGAACAAAATATGTGGAGTTCATATGAACACAACCAAACAAAAATAATTAAAAAATATGTATTTCAACAATGAGAGATATAAAAATAAATATAACGAACTGAATAACAAAACACCCAGAACAACGATATATGAATAGGGAAAAAAAAACGTTGAATCCTTATACAAACAAAACCAAACAAAATAAACTGTAAAAATGATCAACATAAGAAAATGAAAAAAAATATATATCACAAAATGAAATGCACTAATAACAAAAAATATATATACATCTAAATCACAAACTAGAAATTGAAATCTTGACTATATCTCATCTTTTTTAGTTGAATGTTGACCATCTATCTTTCTTATCTAGTTTCAATTTTAGTTTTAATTTTATGGTTTCTTGCATGAGCACCTACTACATTTCATAGTTTTATATTATTGGTTTGAGTTTAAAATTCATTTAAGTTTTAAATTTTGCTTGCATGAATCCAGCTTTATTTTCAGAAAATCCACATTCACACAGAGTTAAAATACGATTTCCTGTGCCAGTACGACGTTGCTGACATCATCAATATGTCTAGATTTCCCGAAATTGTTCTTTGAATGCATAATAACTATATCATGAAAGCCATGGGATATAATAGGTTATTCAATCCTACTTTGTCAAGTCAAGTATTATGAATAATTCCCATTCATCTCTCATTAGCTGAATGAAGTTGATTGATTACTAATAAAGATAAAAAATGATATTTTGCGATAGTATCTATAATTTTTCACTATCGTTATACAAAATAACTTCCATTTCCACTTTTACAGTGAATTGACTTGATTAACTACATAATTTTATTTCCAAAGTTGGTCAACCCCTCGAAATGTTCATTGTTTCAGAAGCGGAAGAATTCGACTTCATAATAGTAGGCGGCGGCGCCTCGGGAGCCGCCCTGGCCAGCCGCCTCTCGGAGGAGCCTAAATGGCGGGTGCTGCTGCTGGAGGCGGGTGGCCCGGAAACGGAAACGACGCGGGTGCCGGCCATGCATCCCCATTTGCTGACGTCACCCTACACCTGGGGATACCTGACGGTCCCGCAGAAATCCGCCTGTTTGGGTAAGATAGTGATGTAAAATTCTCGAAAAAGGATTTTCGGAAAACGTTTCCCTAGCACGAACGAGCATGAACGAGAATAATTATAATAATTATACTTTTTTTTTGTGACATACAGAAACATGTATAGAATAAAAGAACATGAACGAAAAAAAGTCGAGAATTTATGTTTGGGATGTAAAGAAGTATTAAAAAAAGTTATTTTTCTACAAAAGCTCAACAAAGTAGCCTTTGACGCTTTCAAATTCCAGCACAAAGTTGACGTTTTCCCAGAAATGTCATTCTTTGACAGCATTTGCGCTCGTGAGCGGAAATATTGAAAAAACGCTCGCACATCTCTGTAACCTATACTTATCTATTCTTGAAAACCCCCAATTCTTTCATGATCACTGCGCTCCGCTCCGCATCGCGCGGTAACTTTCTTTGTCGAGCGGCAATCTAGCACTTTGCGCTCTAAATACACAAATAGCTATTACCTAACAAGCGCAGAAAGTATTACTTTTCCGCCCGCAACGGCAGCTGCACGAACGACGCGGAGTGGAGTTTGGGCAAGCCGTCAAGGGTGGAATAGTTATTTATTATACAAGGGAAAAAAGTAGTAGATTTTAGCTCCAGGTTGTGTTGTCAAAAAACCGTGAGCTGAAATCTAATATTTTCCCGTGTATAATACACTATTTTTTTCTGTGACAGAAGAAAGGATGAATCAATATTGAGAAGATATCACATTATTTTGAAATCTGAAAATTATCGACGTGAAATTTCAAGTTTTTAACAGTAGGGACACCTGCGTTGTAGGCATCTTCATCATTCTTTTGAAGTAATCAAGTATCTGATGTCACTTCTGTCAGTCTAATTCTGTGATTTGATTTCAAAAAATTGCGAATTTAGTGGTGTTTTCGTAATATACGTAACCGCGAAGTCGAATGGAAGATAAAAGGACTTGCAGTTCTTTCTCGGAGACGGTATTATTGACTCATTTTTCGGAACTATAGCACAACAAAAGCCATCAACAGTGTATATACAGTCTGTCCAAGATAAGGTTGAACAGCATGGGGATCTCGAAAACGGTAAGAGATACGAAATCGGTTAAATGGGGAAAAAGTTGCGCATTCGGAGGCTCATATCAAGAGCCTTCGAAAATTTTGAAAATTATTTTTAGTTTTTGAGTTATATCGAAAAAAGTGAATTTTTGGAATTTCTATTTTATTTTTTTTCTCCGTTATTATTAGAGATACAGCAAAACTGAGAATACTTTTTCATAGCAACTTTTGATGACGGTCAACGTGGTGATACCGATTTTTTCATGCGACGTTTCGTATTCGTGGAACCATCATCAACTTTTGTTTTTTAAATACGGTCCTGATAATTTTTTCACAGATTCTAAAAGGTTTTTTTATTCTGAATTCAACCATGTATTAAACAAGGTGGTTCATTTGTGTTTCGACCTATTTTTGGCCATCATCAATGTTTTTTCGAAACTCCAAAGGAAAAATGCCATCAGTTCCTCTTATTTTGAAGGAAAATTAGTCAACACACTAATACCTCATCAACTGGTTTCAATCAACAACCCATTTCATTTTGCGGAAACAAAAATTCCATCCATACAAATTCAGAATATGTCAAGCGCTAAAACCAGGCGATGACGAAAGGCGCAAGACATTCTGTGAGTGGTATACCAGGAAATGTTGAAATTTTGCAGATTTCTTTCGAACAATCATCTGGACTGATGAAAGCATGGTCACTAATGGGTAGCTTCGATAGAAAAAATACACATTATTGTTCACGAGGAAATGAACATTTATACATTACAGCGAGACACCAACACCGTTTCGGCTTTAATATGTGGGTTGCAATATTTGGTACACGAATTATTGTTCCTTCTATTTACCATGAAACACAGACTTCCGAACGTTATAGAAATTCGCTTGAGAATCATCTTGAGGAAGCTCTGGATGATTTACCGATTGCGGAAGTTCAGAACTCTGTTGGTTTCAACAAGATGGCGCTCCGGTACATAATTCCAGAGAAGTCCGTGCGTTTTTATCCCTTGGCCGGCGCGGTCGCCTGATTTGACACAGCTGGATTTTTTCTTAGGGGATATATCGAACTTTGTACACGCAAATAACTTTGAGGATGAAGAAGAACTAAGGGACAGTGTCTTCGAAGCATTCAATAGAATAACCCCAGAAATGCTTAGCAATGTCTTAGAAACAACTGTGAGAAGAGGATACCTTTGTTCAGAAAATAATGGTTATCATTTTGAACATTTGTTATGAATGTCTCTGTAGGTATTGTCAAAGTTAAGTTGTTAAAGTAATTCGTGTAAGAATTCATCAACAATTTTAAACGCTGCATTGATCGAATGATGTAGTGAAATATTTTTTATTCACTTTTCAGTATTGAATAACTAATCCATCAAGTTTGACACTAAATGATAAGTAATAAGTGGAACTGATGGTTTTTTTTCTTTTGGAAGTTCGAAAAAACATTGATGATGGATAGAAATAGGTCGAAACACATTCGAATCACCTTGTATAGTACATTGTTGAATTCAGAATAAAAAAACTTTCCAGAATCTGTGAAAAAATTATCAGGACCGTATTTAAAAAACAAAAGTTGATGATGGTTCCACGAATACGAAACGTCGCATAAAAAAATCGGTATCACCACGTTAAACCTCATCAAAAGTTGCAATGAAAAAGTATTTTCAGTTTTTCTGTATCTCTGATAATAACGAAGAAAAAAAATAAAATAGAAATTCCAAAAATTCACTTTTTTCGATATAACTCAAAAACTAAAAATAATTTTCAAAATTTTCGAAGGCTCTTGATATGAGCCTCCGAATGCGCAACTTTTTCCCCATTTAAGCGACTTCGTATCTCCTACCGTTTCCGAGATCCCCATGCTGTTCAACCTTATCTTGGACAGACTGTACATGTGATATATCCGGGAAAAAAGTAATTTATGAAAAGTGACATTTCATAACCTGCGAACAGAGATGAAATGCTAAACTTGTTTCCCGTCACAGAAAAATACTACATTATGCATCACCGAAATGCAAGATTTTTTCCAAGGTGCGATTTGTAGCTCGAGGACGAAGCCCGAATTGGAATTCATTGCCTGTGGAAGTATTCCCAACAACAAATAATCTCCAAAAGTTCAAAAAAAAATTCCAATACCTACCTCCTATCCCTATCCTCCCTAGGAACGCACGATGTTCTTTGAACATTATAGGGATTACCTTTCGTGCGCTCCAAGCGATAAAAAAAAATGTTCATATCGAAACATGACGTTCATCAAGTTGATGGGTCATTTCAAATTCCAATAACTTATGATCCTGTTACACCCGGTATACCGTGAACTTTCGCCTGGAATATGCTTGGAAATTCGCCAAGGCTGCCGAAGTACTTGGTACGAGGCCCGTAGACTTATATTCCAGTTCCATCTTCGGTTTCGGAGCCATCAGTGTACCACAATATATGGCTCCTTCTTTGACTTCAAAACCCATGAATTTATTGTTCTATTCTTTTTTGCAGCACAGCCTTGTGGTGAATTGTTTCACAGAGCTGTACCTTTTCTTCATCTCATTCTGAGGGAAATCCTGGATTTCGTGGTGTGGACAGATTTTCCTACCTCTTTCCCTAATCATTATGTATAAGTCGTTGTCTTTGCAGCGTTCTCCTCAACTGAATGAAGAGGGGTGAAGTCTAGAATCACCTTTATTACAGTAGTGGAAACGCTCGAGATGCCGAAAAACTCATTATCATAGCTCGATCGTTTATAGAACGAAAAAGCTTAGAATTTATTTGCCAAAGGAAGAATTCCCGAGAGCTTATGACCTCCAAGATAAAAAAAATCCAATACCCACCAAAAACGAAATTAATCCCCTTTCGTGCACTCTAGAAGATATACAAAAAAATGATAGTCGACGTGCTGCATTAACACTTGGTGGTGAAGCTTTGGTAATGGGCGTGTACACCTTGGTAGAACTTTTAACTCAAACCATGTTTATAATGATCCTTTCATACATAAATAATGATTGACGACATAATTCGATCGAAAACTTTACTGAAATGTTCAATTTTTGGACATAAATAATAGTACCATCTGAAAACGGACCCTCTTATGACGTAGAAACCTCATCTCGCCATAGTTTAAAGAAAATACCAAATGCCGGACGGAGACTGAGGCAACTGATATATTAATTCTTTCAACTGTGATCTCGCGCTAATTCACTCTGCCAGAAATCATGTATCATTCATCTCTGTCTGGAATAGTCCTGTTTCAGTATTAGGGTTTTGACGTCACATCATCGCCTCGTTTTCAGAGGTCCGAAAAATCGGGGATTTCAATAATTTTTTATAAAACATAGGGAGCTCACAGCGATAAACGGTTTGCGATGGTGAGCTAGTTTGGGTGAGTTCTATCGAATTATGGAATAAAATTTTTTTGTGATATAAGCCCATTGAACGAAACATACGGCTTATTTTTTCAGGAATGGTCGACAAGAGATGTTCCATCATAACGGGAAAAGCTCTAGGAGGAGACACCTCCATAAACGATATGCTCTTCACTAGAGGTCATCCGAGGGACTACGATATTTGGTCGGATAAGGGTCTCAAGGGATGGTGCTGGGAGAGCGTCTACCCCTACTTCAAGAAGATGGAGAACGCCTTCCTCCATCACGAATTCGACAAGAAATTCCATCACTACGGTGAGTGAAGTTTATTTTTCACCACGTTTTCAGTTAGATCGCTTTCTTGTATGTCTGTATGTTACAAATATTTTGACTGCATTTTCCACTCAACTGCCACTTCAAAATGATATTTTGAATTGGAATATGTATACATGTATATGTATATACAGAGTGGGCCTTTGAAAACGAAACAGAGGCTCTGTAGGTCGCCAAAACCGGATTATCAAAAAAAACTGAAACAGGTCAACTACATTTTCGAGGGGGACATCTTTCTAAAATATTTTCAGCCCTGCGGCGTTGCCGCTTCTAAAGAAAAGAAGCAACAACTTTGTTATTTCAAATGGAACACCTTGTATTTTATTGCATTTTTAGATTCTCCCCGAAGAGCTGATTTCATCAATGCATCACACTTAGGGTCTAGCTGTAATGGTTTCAGGGATATGAAGTGTTCAAAATCGAGATTTTTCAACTTTAACATTTTTTTGTGTCGAAACTATTCATTATTGGTCAAAACGGCTCTCATGTCCCGATCTCAACTTGTGATTTACTATCTACTGACATTTATTTGAAACAAATACAGGGTGGTTCAAGATTCAGAATTCTGATCACCCTGTATCTATTCCAATTAAATGTCAGTAGATAGTAAATCACAAGTTGAGATGGGGACATGAGAGCCGTTTCGACCAATAATGAATAGTTTCGACACAAAAAATGTCAAGTTGAAAAATCTCGATTTTGAACACTTTATATCCCTGAAACCATTACAGCTAGACCCCAAGTGTGATGCATTGATGAAATCAGCTCTTCGGGGAGAATCTAAAAATGCAATAAAATACAAGGTGTTCCATTTGAAATAACAAACTTGTTGCTTCTTTTCTTTAGAAACGGCAACGCCGCAGGGCTGAAAATATTTTAGAAAGATGTGTCCCTCGAAAATGTAGTTGACCTGTTTCAGTTTTTTTTGATAATCCGGTTTTGGCGACCTACAGAGCCTCTGTTTCGTTTTCAAAGGCCCACTCTGTATATAAAAAGAGGAAAGATTTGTTTGTTTGTACTCTGAAACTACTGAACAGATCTGATTTTTTTTTCACCATTAGAACCCGACATTATCCCTGATGAACATAAGCTACTTTTTACCGCAGGAAAATGCTTCATTCGAGAAAACGAGAAAACGAGTAATAGAATAACACTGTTAGTAAGAATCATCCTACCGTACTTACCTTTTTCACATAACTTCTAAACGGCTGAACCGATTGGGTTGAAATTTCATATGGGTATATATTCCGATGGTTTCCTGGATAATTTAAAAATTGACCACGGTAGGTGGCACTAGTGTCGGTACGTCAACTACTAAACAACAAAAAAATACAAAAGATACTGAGAGAATGAAAATGGGTGTAAGTATATACCAGTGGCGGCTCTTCAGAGAGGGCAACGGAGGCTAAGTCTCCTCAAGAATTTCCATACATCGAATAGTTCGATATACTGGTATAGAATATTACACCGAAACTTACGTTCGTTTTATCGGTTCCAACCACCAATGCCGTGCCATATGTATGCAATGCAACGAATAATCCGTGTGGTGAGAATATCCTACCTGCGTTAACAGATCAGGTTCATTCAATTTCCAAGGATGTTCGAATTGTAGCTTGAATACAAATACAACCACAGAGTGACATATTTGTGTATGAGCCAGGTGCTCTAATAGCAAATACCGCGCCAGTGCCAGGTATAGGAAAAATACGTGGAAAATGTTAGGTTAGTGAGCAAATCAACAATAATAATAGCAATTATTTATTTTTCTTCATAGTCCACTGTGTTTGACTCGATAATCGAATGAAGGTAAACAATATCGTTGTTTGAGACAAAAAACTATTGCTGGCCGTGATTATTCAAAAACAAGTTATCCATTCTGAGATTAACGAATAAAATACAGATCAAGCAAGTATGTGAATCTTGAAGACTTTCCTGATCAAAACAAAAATACTTGACTATAATATGGTGTATTTATATCTCCAGCATGGGTATGAAATGCCAAATCTGCCGAAATCGGAAACAAATCAGGTATGCGTCCCAACCGATATAACCAACCGTAACAATGTTGTTTATTCTTGATGACCTCTATTACATCCTTTTTAGTTCCTAGGAGCTAAAAGTTCAACATTAGCTCCTAGGAACTAAATGTGTTGCCTAGCTACATACCTATGTTTGTGTCAGTATTAGAAACGTCAATTCAAGAGCTAATTTTGATATTATAGTAGACGATTTTTGTGTGGGTTGCAGAAAAAATTATTTTAGTGTTTATCTGAAAAAAATTATATTATTAATTTGTTATTTGTTGTTAGGTTTTAGGTGTGGTGTGAATATAATTTCATTCGTTATACTTGATGATTTCATGTTTCATGCTGTGAAATGAATGCAGTGAACGAGTAGGTACTTTGAATTTTGAAACTGACAATCGAAATGTATTATTTGGCGGCGGCGCGGCGGCATCGTAATAGTCGGGCACTCCAAACTATCTATCATATCAGGATGATGATGTTGAATTTGGGGCAATGTAAACTCCCTACCACCACCTCACCGCTGATAGCTTCTCTCAGCAAAGCACAAATAACCTTTTTCTGCAACCGACACAAAAGTCGTCCATTGTGATACCAAAATTAGCTCTTAAATTGGCGTTTCTATTACTGACACAAAAATAGGTATGTTGCTAGGCAACATATTTAGTTCCTAGGACCTAAAGTTGAACTTTAGCTCCTAGGAACTAAAAAGGATGTACTGGACGTCATCGAGAATAAACAACATTGTTACGGTCGGTTTTTTGGGTTGAGACGCATACCTCATTTGTTTCCGATTTCGGCAGATTTGTCATTTCATACCTATGCTGGAGATATGAATACACCTTAATATAGTTGAGTATTGGAATTATAAACATATCAGTTGAGTTGAGTTCAGTTGAGTATTTTTGTTTTGATCAGGGAAGCCTTCAAGATTCAAATACTTGCTTGATCTGTATTTCATTCGTTATTCTCGGGATGGATAACTTGTTTTTGAATAATCACGGCAAGCAATAGTTTTTTGTCTCAAACAACGATATTGTTTAGCTTCATTTGATTATCAAGTCAAACACAGTGTAGTATGGAGAGGAATAAATAATCACTATTATCATTGTTGATATGCTCACTTACCCAACATTTTCCACGTCTTGTTCATATAGCTGGCACTGGCGCGGTATTTACCATTAGAGCACCTGGTCCATACACAAATATGTCACTCTGTGGTTGTATTTATATTGAAACTACAATTCGAACATCCCAGAAAACCCAACCTGCTGTTAATGCAGGTATAGAATATTCTCACCACATGGATTATTTGTCAATATTTGTAGCATTGCATACATATGGCACGGAATTGGTGGTTACTTCACATGTTTATTTGAGTAAATTGTTTCGGTTGCAGAAAAAATAGCATGTTTCATTCGGATCAAAAGTGACTTTGTTAGACTCGCAAATTTTGCTTTCGCTTGGCTTCGCTAAACGCTCCGCCTCGCAAATGCAAAATTCGCTTGTCAAACAAAGTGTCACTTTTGATCCTAATAAAACAATCTACTATTTTCTGCAACCGACACTAAAGTCGTCCATTGTGATACCAAAATTAGCTCTTAAATTGACGTTTCTATTACTGACACACAAATAAGTATGTTGCTAGAGAACATATTTAGTTCCTAGGACCTAAAGTTGAACTTTAGCTCCTAGGAACCAAAATGGATGTACTGGACGTCATCAAGAATAAACAACATTGTTAACGTTCGGTTTTTTGGGTTGAGACGCATACCTTATTTGTTTCCGATTTCGGCAGATTTGTCATTTCATACCTATGCTGGAGATATGAATACACCTTAATATAGTTGAGTATTGGAATTATAAACATATCAGTTGAGTATTTTTGTTTTGATCAGGGAAGCCTTCAAGATTCAAATACTTGCTTGATCTGTATTTCATTCGTTATTCTCGGAATGGATAACTTATTTTTGAATAATCACGGCAAGCAATAGTTTTTTTTGTCTCAAACAACGATATTGTTTACCTACATTTGATTATCAAGTCAAATACAGTGTAGTATGGAGAGGAATTAATAACCGCTATTATTATTGTTGATATGCTCACTAACATAACATTTTCCACGTATTGTTCCTATAGCTGGCACTGGCGCGGTATTTGCCATTATAGGACCTGGTCCATACACAGTTATGTCACTCTGTGGATGTATTTATATTGAAACTACAATTCGAACATCCTTGAAAATTGAATGAACCTGCTGTTAATGCAGGTAGAATATTCTCACCACACGGATTATTTGTCAATATTTGTTGCATTGCATTCATATGGCACGGCATTGGTGGTTACTCCACAACATATTCATTTGACTTAATTGTCTCGGTTGCAGAAAAAATAGCATGTTTCATTCGGATCAAAAGTGACTTTATTCGACTCGCAAATTTTGCTTTCGCTCGGCTTCGCTAATTTTTTTTCTGTACAGGAGGCCCCGTCCACCTGGAAAACCCACCTCACTCGGACTACTCGCTCGCTGCCCACCTGTTGCAGGCAGGCCATCACATCGGCCTGGACACCATCGACTACAACGGCAAAGAGCACCTAGGACTAGGCATCCCGCAAGTCATAACGAGCCACGGCAAGAGACACAGCGTCGCCAAGGCCTACTTAGAGCATGCGCACCATAGGCCCAACCTCGTCATCATACCGAACAGTCACGTGCTCGAGGTGCTAGTCAGCCCGCACACCAAAGAGGCCAGCGGTGTCAAGTACTTTCACGACGGCAAGGTGTACATGGAGAAGGCCTGCAAGGAGGTTATTTTGGCTGCGGGGGCCATCAACACTCCTCACATTCTCATGCTATCAGGTGAGGAACAACGACTGACATATTTCAATTGTCTATCAGGTCGCGCTAATGAGAGATGGCATCTCGCATGACATTTACTTCTTCTTTGGTTTCATTTGGCCTCTGGTTCCTTATGTTGATGTGAAAGTTGCGCGTGAGGAGGTTATTTTGACTGCGGGGGCCATGAACACTCCTCACATTCTCATGCTATCAGGTGAGAAAAGGGGGCTGACATATTTCTATTGTCCATCAGGTCGCGCTAATGAGATATGACGTCTCGCAAGGCATTTACTTCTTCTTTCGTTTCATCTGGCCTCTACTTTCTTATGTTGATGTGAAAGTTACGCGTGATGAGGTTGCGGGAGCCATCAACACTACTCACATTCTCATGCTATCAGGTGAGGAACAACGGCTGACATATTTCAATTGTCCATCAGGCCGCGCTAATGAGACATGACATCTCGCATGACATTTTCTTCGTCTTTGATTTCATTTGGCCTCTAGTTTCTTCTGTTAATGTGGAACTTGCGCCAAAAGAAGTTATTTTGGATGCGCGGCCATCAACACTCCTCACATTCTCATACTATCAGGTGAGGAACCAGGGCTGACATATTTCAGTTGCCAACTAGTTCGCGCTACTGAGGCGAGAGGTGTCGCATGACATTTTCTTCTTTTTTTTTTCATTTGGCCTCCATTTTCTTATGTTCATGTGAAAGTTGTGCGTAAGGAATTTATCCTGGCTGCGAGGGTCATCAATACTCTTCACATTCTCATGCTATCAGGTGAGGAACGAGAACTGATATATTTCAAATTTTGAATTGACTCGGCCGTTACTTGATGGAAATCCATGATAAATGTAAAAACTTCACAAACGATAAGATTTCCACAAAATTTTTATTAAACACACGACATGTTTCGCTAACACAGTAGCTTCGTCAGGTGATATACTGGTACAATGAACCAGTATATCACCTGACGAAGCTACTGTGTTAGCGAAACATGTCGTGTGTTTAATAAATTTTGTGGAAATCTTATCGTTTGTGAAGTTTATACATTTGATATATTTCAATTGTTGACCAGGTCGCGCTAATGAGACATGAGGTCTCGCATGACATTCACTTCTTCTTTCGTTCCATTCGGCCTCTAGTATCTTCTGTCTACGTGAAAGTTGCGCTTAAGGAGGTTATTTTCGCTGCGGGGGCCATCAACACTCCTCAAATTCTCATGCTAAGGGAGGAATGAGGGCTGACATAATTCAATTATCAACCAGGTCACGGGTACTCAGACATGAGGTCTCGCATGACATTCACTTCTTCTTTCCTTTCATTTGGCCTCTAGTTTATCTTCTTCTTCGTTAATGGCAAAGTTGCGATTGAGGTTTCACATTGAATTGACCTATCCAAGATGCTGTCAAACCATCAAAATCAATATGGCCGACTGTAGGCACACATACTTTCGTGTCGCAATATCTTTGTTATAACGGTCCAAGGATAATAAATATCCACTTTCATTCAAAACAGCCATTATTATTATTTGATGTATCTACCTAAGATTATACTGCTGCTACGTAAATCAACAAAAAATACTTGTGTGCCTATAGGCGGCCATTAGAAATATGTCAAAAGTCACGTGTTCTGGAATGCCTAATACAAAACACCAAAGCCTGACGAAGTACCCAACCCTGACATTAGTTTGAATTTTTTTATTTGTTTTCATAAGGCATATCAATGGTTGTAATAATTTTCAGCAAAACGGGCCTTAGACTTCAGGGCATTTACATAGACCTCAAGCTTTAGTGGCGCCGACTAGTGAGACTGAAAGTTTTGGCCCTCAAAGCTAATGTTCAATAAGAAGCTATACAAGGACAGTGTCCTTCGAAACCGATAAGCACACATGTAAAGTTCTTGGCATAGATAAATGCCATAATTTGACTATGTGATATATGAAACCAACAAAAAAATCTGACGAATTTATTTTCATACGTCAATATCAATTCAACAATTTGCAAATTTCGCCTTCATATGTTAACTACCTGACATAATATGTCTTGCAGGCAAGGAAAAACATTGTATTTCATCGAATGACACCTTGCCAATCACAATCCTCAGCAAGAGTATTGAAAAAGTAAAGGTTGCAGGCTTTAGGAGAAGGTGTATCATTATAGTCAAATTACAAGTTGTAATGTTGTACTTGTTGGTTTTTATACAATATGTCAAACAATGAAATCATGATACATATATCTGGAGTACCATTTATATGACTCAAAAACTTGATCAATTGAACACCCTCAATTCATATTATTGACAAATCTGATATCCGTATTCCCCGATAATCTTATTGAACCAACCATTTCTGAACAGGTATCGGTCCCAGAGAAGTCCTGGAGCCGTTAGGCATCCCAGTAGCGGCAGATCTCTGCGTAGGCTGCTTTTTACAGGACCAAATCTCCTTCATGGGCCTCAACTTCGTCTTCGATCTCCCTCTCCATGACTCCGTACACGAAACGCTTCACGACCCCATCCACAACCCCATCCACGAGCCAATCCACATTCCCATCCACGAGCCCATCCACGAGCCCATCCACGAGCCCATCCACGAGCCTATCCACGAGCCCATCCACGAGCCCATCCACGACCCCCTACATCCCCATGTAGATCCAATTCGCGTGTTCCGTCATGGCTTAGATGCCCGTATCTCAATCCCAATCGAACACTTGGAGCACCTTGAAGAGGATGTCGCCTACGAAGAACACCTCCATCGCGCCATCTCTCTGGATGGTCATCACGAAGCTAACCACGTGCTGCCACCGCTAACCAAGCCTATGGAATACCACGTCGAAGAAAAGCTGTTCGAGGAACACAGCGAGAAGGAACATCACAATCGCGCCATCTCCCACGATCGTCATCACGAACCAAACCACGTGCTACCACCTTTAATTGAGCCTAAGGAATACCACGTAGAAGAAGATCTGTTCATGGAACACAGCGAAGAGGAACTGATAGATTATTTGAGGTATGGCAAAGGACCGCTGAGTACTACCGGTCTGGAGGTGGTAGGGTTCGTCAAGACCGCCCATTCCAGAGATAGGACTCCGTATCCTGATGTGCAGTTCTTGATCAAGAGGATCAAATATCCAGGTAAGATCAGTTCGATGCGATAGGGAACACTTTTCGTTGACAATACGGGCTAGTGTAGAAAAGTTATCTAAGGAAGCATTTAAATAAAACTATCCTATTCAGGTATTGATTTCCATCATAAGTTGAGTGGATCATTCATGAACGTAAATAATTTCATCAGCTTCCCAACGTTTCAGTGGAGGCCCTCGACATACAAGCCAATCCAGAAAATGCTATAGATTTCAAATGGTTGCTTGTCTCATCCATTTTTCATTTTTGAAAGTGCGTGACAAGCTATGATAAGAGTTGCTCATTGCTCAGTTGATTATGGATATTGTTATTACTTCGAAAACCTATGCAGATGTTATGAACATTAGGAATGTTTTTCTTAGCTTACCATCACTTCTGAGGCTTCAACTGGAGAATAGCGAAATCATTTTCAGTCCAGCCCAGTCGCTGGATGGCCCTACCATCGAGGATATGATCTTCCAAAAGACGACTGTTTATCGCATTCGTATTGTTGTTCATGGACCAACGGTTCATGCCAAGTAACCTTCAAGTTTTGAGTGCTTGCACCATCATACCCTAGCTATCTCATTTCAGAATAGTATCACTTTTCTGCTACGCTATGGTTCTTACCACGATTGCATCATCTGAAGCACGAGTCATGAGTGTTTCGAAATATCCATGAACAAATCATTTTCCACAGCTTTCCACCGCTTCAGAGGCCTCAACTTGACACCCGACCTCCACGACTCCGTCTGCAAATGCCCTTGGACCTCAACTCTCTTGCACCCGATGTCCAGAAACCTGCTGACGTTATACGAAAGGGACCCCTTTCACCAACTGCTGATGAACCAGAACGCCTAACACGACTGAGACATTTCTTTGAATGCAGCACACTTGGCAGACATTTCATAAGGGATTTCAAATTCTTTATTGACCGAGAGAACAATTCAGGTTTCGAATAGTTGCTCGCTTCAACATTCTCTCGTTTTCAAGATAGTATGCAATTCGATCTTGAAACAGCATCACGGTTCTTTCCACGTTCAGGTTGTTAGCACCTTTTGGAGCACCTGGAGTCATAACCATTTTCCTCAGTTTGCCACCACTTCAGAGGCCTCAACTTGAGACCCGACCTCCACTATTTCTGCAAACTCCACCTGCTGACGTAACACGATACTTTCTACCAACTGCTGATAGACCAGAACGCTTCACGTGACTAAGACATTTCTACAAACGTAGCACACTTGGCTAACTCCTTTTTCATAAAGAATATTGAGTTACTCATTGACAGAAAGAACAATTCAGATTTCAAATAGTTGCTCGCTCCAAAATCCTCTCGATTTCAAAATGGTATGCCATTCGATCTTGAAACAGCTCCACCTTTCATTCCACGTTAAGGTTGTTAGCATCTTTTGAAGCACCAGTGAGTCATACTCATTTTCCCCAGCTTGCCACCACTTCAAGGGCCTCAACTTGAGACCCGACCTCCACGACTACTTCTGCAAACTCCACCAGCCCTTAGAGGGTGTCAACGTCGATATCGTTTTCCTACATATTGTTTCTAGAGGCTTGCTGACGTTGCACGACAGATATCTCTTCCACCAACTGCTTAACACGACTAAGATATCCCTTCTAATGCAGCACACTTGGCGTACTCGGTTTTTATAAAGGATATTGAGTTAATTATTGACCAAGAGAGCGAATAATTCAGGTTTCAAATAGTTGCTAGCTTCAACATCCTCTCGATTTCAATATGGTATGCCATTCGATCTTGAAACAGTATCACGGTTCCTTCTACGTTAAGGTTGTTAGCACATTTCAAAGCACAAGTTAGTCGTAGTCGTTTTCCTCAGCTTGCCACCACTTCAGGGGCACCAACTTGAGGCCCGACCTTCACGATTCCTTCAACAAACATCCCCAGCCCTTGAAGGGCTTCAACTTTCAGGTGGCGCTGCTGCTTCCCGTTTCCAGAGGATTGTGGACGTTGCACGATAGGGATCCCATCCACCAACTGCTTAACACGACTAAGATATCTCTTCTAATGCAGCACACTTGGCTTACTCGTTTTTTATAAAGGATATTGAGTCAATTATTGACCAAGAGAACAAACAATTTGGGTTTCAAATAGTTGCTCGCTTCAACATCCTCTCGATTTCAAGATGGTATGCCATTCGATCTTGAAACACTATCACGGTTAGGATATTGAGTTGATTATTGACCAAGAGAACAAACAATTCAGGTTTCAAATAGTTGCTCGCTTCAACATCCTCTCGATTTCAATATGGTATGCCATTCGATCTTGAAACAGTATCACGGTAAGGATATTGAGTTAATTATTGACCAAGATAACAAACAATTAAAGTTTCAAATAGTTGCTCGCTTCAACATCCCCTCGATTTCAATATGGTATGCCATGCGATCTTGAAACAGTATCACGGTTCCTTCTACGTTAGGGTTGTTAGCACATTTCAAAGCAGAGTCATAATCGTTTTCCTCAGATTGCCATCACTTCAGAGGTCTCAACTTGAGGCCCCACCTCCACGACTCCTTCTGCAATCATCACCAGCCCTTGGAGGGCTTCAACTTCGAGGTGGCGCTGCTGCATTCCGTTTCCAGAGGCTTGTTGACGTTGGACAACAGAGATCCCTTCCAGCAACTGCTTAACACGACTAAGATATTTCTTCTAATGCCGCACACTTACCGTACTCGTTTCTAATAAAGGATATTGGGTTAATCATTGACCACGAGAAAATTTAGGCTTCAGATAGTTGCTATCGCTTGAACATCCTCTCGATTCCAATATCGTATGCCATTCGATCTTGAAACAGTATCACGGTTCTTTCTACGTAAAGGTTGTTAGCACATTTTAAAGCACAAGTGAGTCACAATCGTTTTCCTCAGCTTGCCACCACTTCAGAGGTCTCAACTTGAGGCCCCACCCCCACGACTCCTTCTGCAAACATCACCCGCCCATGGAAGGCTTTAACGTCGAGGTAGTGCTGTTGCATCCCGTTTCCAGAGGCTTGTTGACGTTGCACGACAGATATCTATTCTTTCTAATGCAGCACACTTGGCGTACTCGTTTTTATAAAGGATATTGAGTTAATTATTGACCAAGAGAACAAACAATTTAGGTTTCAAATAGTTGCTCGCCTCAACATCCTCTCGATTTCAAGATGGTATGCCATTCGATCTTGAAACAGTATCACGGTTGGGATATTGAGTAAATTATTGACTAAGAAAACGAACAATTCAGGTTTCAAATAGTTGCTAGCTTCAACATCCTCTCGATTTCAATATGATATGCCATTCGAGCTTGAAACAGTATCACGGTTCCGTCTACGTTAAGGTTGTTAGCACATTTTAAAGCACAAGTCAGTCATAGTCGTTTTCCTCAGCTTGCCACCACTTTAGAGGCCTCAAATTGAGGCCCCATCTCCACGACTCCTTCTGCAAACATCACCAGCCCATGGAAGGCTTCAACGTCGAGGTGGTGCTGCTGCATCCCGTTTCCAGAGGCTTGTTGACGTTGCACGACAGATATCTATTCTTTCTAGTGCAGCACACTTGGCGTACTCGTTTTTTATAAAGGATAATGAGTTAATTATTGACCAAGAGAACAAACAATTCAATTTTCAAATATTTGCTCGCTTCAACATCCTCTGAATTTCAAGATGGTATGCCATTCGATCTTGAAACAGTATCACGATTCCTTCTACGTTAAGGTTGTTAGCACATTTTAAAGCACAAGTGAGTCATAATCGTTTTCCCCAGCTTGCCAGCACTCCAGAGGCCTCAACTTGAGGCCCAACCTCCACGACTCCTTCTGCAAATATCACTAGCCCTTGAAGGGCTTCAACGTCGAGGTGGCGCTGCTGCATCACGTTTCCAGAGGCTTGTTGACTTTGGGCAACAGAGATCCCTTCCAGCAACTGCTTAACACGACCTAGATATTTCTTCTAATGCAGCACACTTACCGTACTAGTTTCTGATGAAGGATATTGAGTTAATCATTGACCACGAGAGCAGTTTAGGCTTTAGATAGTTGCTCGCTCCAACATCCTCTCGATTTCTATATGGTATGCCATTCGATCTTGAAACAGTATCACGGTTCCGTCTACGTTAAGGTTGTTAGCACATTTTAAAGCACAAGTGAGTCATAATCGTTTTCCTCAGCTTGCCACCACTTCAGAGGCCTCAACTTTAGACCCGACCTCCACGACTCCTTCTGCAAACATCACCAACCCTTGGAAGGCTTCAACGTCGAGGTGGTGCTGCTGCATCCCGTTTCCAGAGGCTTGTTGACGTTGCACGACAGAGATCCTTTCCACCAGCCGCGGATCAACCCCGAAGCGCTGAACGACGAAGACGATATCGACGTAGAAACGCTCCTGGCGGGGGTGCACGAAGCTCTCAAGCTGGCCGAGAGTCCGGCCCTGCACGAGTTGGGGGCGCGGTTGGTGCACGAGAGGGTGCCCGAGTGTGACTTGGGGCACTTCGATGATGAGTACTGGAGGTGTGCAATAAGGTAAGACTATTTCATCTATTATGGAGTAAAGTTTTGGAGATTGTGGTTGAGTAATTAAATACAAAAATGGGATTGGCTACCTGTTCTATCGCTCCCCACTAGCGTTTAGAGACCGATACATGATGAATTTATAGGTATTAGAATTCTTTAGTGTGTTTATTTACCTAATCAAACTGACCTATTCGTTAGTGTACAGGGTGGGCCAAATTTGACACTTTCACAGGGAAAGTCCTTTTCTCGAACTAGATACAACAAAACCGATGTCGGTGTCTGAGGTCGATATATTTCTTCGTTTCAGACGGTTTCAGAGTAACAAGGTGTTATTCGAAAATGTGCGTCTTTGATTCGTTGTTCTAGCAGAAATTCTTAGTTTTCATGAAAATAGAACATTTCCTTAAAAAAAAAAGGTTATACTAGATATGGGAAGACTAATTTTAGTGCCTTAGGATCAATTTTAATCACAAACTCAATGCTTTTGATATGTTATCATGAGATCAGTAAATGTTTGTCAAAACAATTATTTGTAGCCACTTTTCAGAAATGCACATTTTCGAAAAAATATCTTACAAATCTGAAACGAAGACAGATATCGATAAGTGTCCAATTTGGCCCACCCTGTATTTCATGAGCATTTTGTGAGTTAACGGATACTAAAAGAACGGTAGTTTGACTATTTATTAAATTCGAAGATACTTAAAATCTGTTAGTAGGTTAATTGAGGAGGTGGAATATCCATTTATCAAATTGTTGGATTGTCTCTCATTTCCATAAATAAAAATATTCACTTTCAATGTCCTGAAATATACATATAATACGAAAGTCGTATGGTATATTGCACATTAGATGGGCAGGGTTTCTCATATTTTGGAATATATCAGGGATTTTAATATATTTTTTTCTAATAGAGAGAAGTACACTAAAAACTGTAACTTTTGAATTATTCGAGATAGGGTTTTGGAAATCGGTATGCAGCTAGTATACCAAATCGCTCATTAATTGACGAAACAATCCTTGTTTTATTATTTCTGGTTTTACTGAAAACGACCCCAACTTTCGATTTGCAGATGGTACCTGTACTGTATTCCATAATCGGTCATAACGAATTAATTGATACCGGGGTTGATTGGGTTATTTCAAACAATTACGCAGATATTCGCGTTCTAAGTGTGCTCAATGAGTGTGACAGAGAAAGAAATTTTGATATTGCGAAGTCACACCCATTGAGCATATGGAAACTTCGAACGCAAATATCTTTGTAATCGTTTGGAATAACCCTATCAAACCCGGTATCGTTGAATTCGTCATGATAATCCCTAACCGATTATGGAATGCAATACAGGGTGTCCCATTCGAAAATCAAAAGTTGAGGTCGTTTCTAGTGAAACTGAAAGTGATAGAAGAAAAATTGTTTCATCAAATAATGAGCAATTCAGTATACTTGCTACCCACCAATTTTTACAACCCTATCTAGAATAATTCAGAAGTTACAATCCTGGCCGTTTTTTGTGCACATCTCTGTATACAGAGCTCTGAAAAAAACTTTTTTAAAGTGAACTTATCATATTTTTCTATGGAACAGGCCAATTTATGGATTCGATAAAATTGGTGTATAGAATAGATAGGTTGATGGAATCGATAGAATTGGCAGAACTGGAAGAATTGATAAAATTGATAGAACTGATAGATTTGATAGAATCGATATATAGGATTGATGGAATCGATAGAATTGGGGAAGACCGCTAAAGGATGAAAATCCGTCCGAACCTCTTTCAATAGATGAATCATGATTAAATGTTAAAATTGAAATGAATGATATCAGGTCTCTCCATGTAGTGATCGATGGAGTTTCATCTGACTCTCTTATCATAAATGCTGGTGTTCCGCAAGGATCAGTTCTAGCACCAACGATATTTCTACTCCATATCAACGATTTGTTGGAAGCAACTTCATGTCCAGTACACAGCTTCGCGAATGATAGTACCCTCCATACCGCCTTCTATTCCAGGGCTAAAAATCCAGCCAGGCAAATCAGAAATGAACGAATGGGGATCCAATAACTTGGTATATTTCAATGCAAACAAAACACAAGCATGCCTCTTCTCTAGAAAAGCCGATCTCACTGTGCCCAACATCATCTTGTCAGGAGTAACCGTACCTCAGAAGACATCCACTATCAGCAATGACCTTTCTTGGGAAAATCACGTGAAATCAATTGTTAAAAGTGCATCCCAAAAACTTGGTTTTCTGTTTCGGGCCAGGGGCTATTTCACTTCCAGTCAGCTGCTTATGATCTATAAGGCACAGATCCGACCTGTCCTGGAATACTGTTTCCATATTTGGAGTGCAGTACCCAAACATACCCTGAAACTGTTGGATTCTGTCCAAAAAAAGGGAATTCGTCTCGTGGGATGCCTCGCTCACAAACTCACTCACTTCTTTGGGACACCGTAGAAAAGTTGGCGATCTGGCTCTATTTTATAGATATTTTCATGGACGATGCTCTTCTGGAATATCAACAATTTTTCCTCCCTTGGCAGTCCCCACTTGATTAACCCGTCGAGTTGAGGCTTCGCACCCCTTCGTGGTCACTTTGGAGACCTGCAGAACATCTCTTTCCAAAGACTGGTTCATCCAACGAACAGCGAGGCTCTGGAACACATTGCCAAAGGAGGTGTTCCCCGAGGCATACAACCTCCAGAAATTTAAGAAGAACACCAATTCCTACCATATTTCCCTTGGTTCTCACGATGTTCTCTGAACATTACAGGATATCCCTTTTCGTGGGAACCAGAACATAAAAACAAAAAGGCATATTACATTCAATATTTTTCAAAAAGGCAAATATATGATAGAATTGATAGTACTGATAGAACTGATAGAACTGATAGAACTGATAGAATTGATAGAATTGATAGAATTGATAGAATTGATAGAATTGATAGAATTGATAGAATTGATAGAATTGATAGAATTGATAGAATTGATAGAATTGATAGAATTGATAGAATTAATAGAATTGATAGAATTAATAGAATTGATAGAATTGATAGAATTGATAGAATTGATAGATTTGATAGAATTGATAGAATTGATAGAATTGATAGAATTGATAGAATTGATAGAATTGATAGAATTGATAGAATTGATAGAATTGATAGAATTGATAGAATTGATAGAATTGATAGAATTGATAGAATTGATAGAATTGATAGAATTGATAGAATTGATAGAATTGATAGAATTGATAAAATTGATAGAATTGATAGAATTGATAGAATTGATAGAATTGATAGAATTGATAGAATTGATAGAATTGATAGAATTGATAGAATTGATAGAATTGATAGAATTGATAGAATTGATAGAATTGATAGAATTGATAGAATTGATAGAATTGATAGAATTGATAGAATTGATAGAATTGATAGAATTGATAGAATTGATAGAATTGATAGAATTGATAGAATTGATAGAATTGATAGAATTGATAGAACTGATAGAATTGATAGAATTGATAGAATTGATATAGTTGATAGAGTTGATAGAATCGATAGAATTGATATAGTTGATAGAGTTGATAGAATCGATAGAATTGATACAATTGATAGATTTGATAGAATTGATCGAAATGATGGAAGGAATTGATAAAATCAATGAAATTGATAGAAATCGTCTCGTTTCAGGCATATGTCAGTGACCAAAGGCAATGTGATCGGCACCTCGAGGATGGCGTCGATGATGGAGAAGGGCGCCGTCGTCGATCAAGAGTTGCGCGTCTACGGCGTCCACAAGCTCAGGGTGGCCGATGCCGGGGTCATCCCCAACGGCATGTCGGGCAATCTGATGGCTCCGGAAATCATGATAGGCGAACGAGCGGCCGACCTCATCAAGAAGGAATGGATGATATGAAATTGTGTGCGAGTTGTTATGTATTATGTGCTGAGAAGAATTCTTGAAATTTGGTCTCGCGCATCATCATTGTACAGACATTTTTCAGAAACCATGTTCAAAGATATAATTTAATACTCAAGGAGTTCATTTCAACTTTGAAACTATGCATCTAGGAGTAAATAATTATTTTGATATATTCTTTAGTATTCAGTTGTTAAACTGACTTGCAAACCGGCGTACAGTCGTCTTCAGAGATCATGTCACGGTTGGACGTGCGACGTCCATGTGCGACATGTTTTCTGAAGACGACTGTACCTATATGTGACAATATTAGACTATCTTTAAATTACATTGTAGTTGAAATCGATTAACCTAAGCCAATACTTCCTGATGGTTATTTGTGATGAAAAATAATCGGAGATTTTTTCTATTACAGAATATTTAACTGTTGCAGATCTCTTATCTTATTTAGAGATCTTAAACTTACATCGTAGTTGAAATCGATTAACCTAAGCCAATACTTCCTGATGGTTATTTGTGATGAAAAATAATCGAAGATTTTTTTCCATTCCAGAATATTTAACTGTTGCAGATCTCTCATCTTATTCAGAGCTTTGTTTTTTATGTATGGTACACTCATACGAAACTGAAATAAATATTTTCATGAAATTCGATATATGTAGTTATATTATATTCCATTCTAAAATGACAAAAAAGTCAAACTTGATCGCCTTCTAACTTTTCCAATTTTTGGACCGATTCTAGTGGAATTTCGACCAAGTCGTAGATTTATTTTTCTAAATGTTAGCCTGAATTTTATCGTTCAGCAGGGTGAAATGAAAGTTACTCTTTCACCTTAGCTTCTTAACGGCCTGGGGCAAAAGTGAGTGGTTAAACTTATAGTTTTACTTTGTTTTGGATTGAAGTATGATAACTTTTCAAAACAATGATTCTAGAATCGCGTCAATATCTTCTTCGGATAATATACATTTCACAGAGAGAGAGCAACTCAAAGTTAATACCAGAATAGTTCATACAATGAACGAAAATGGTACCCCTGAAAGGGGTCTCCTGAAGATGATATTTCTCCCTCGAGAGACATTTGACGACTTATGTTTATTGGAACTTTTCTTCATATCATTGATCGTAGAAGCCGGTGGGTAAGTTTGGTAGGCTAATTTCGGGACACCCTGTATTGATATCAAACTTTAACTAGGAATATCTGTTGGCATTATTTGAGAAAACATTTTTTTTAGGAAACAGGCGTAATACGAAATTTTCACAAGAACAACAAAATGAAGATAATTCATCATTTATTCCGGTAAAAAAATTGAGAACCTTATTACTGTTCAAGATTCCTTGTTCAAAACTCGTCGGGAGTTTTTCTGTCATTATACACCCAAGTGTTCGAAAAAAGTATTACAAAAATGAAAAAATTCAAAAGCTTCCGTATTCCAGTTTTTTTTTTTTTTAATTTTTCTATTAGGCATTTTTTCCGAACTTTCAAGCCAATATCTCGAAACTGTTTTGTAATTTTCCATATTCCCCATACAGGATGTTGAAAATCGATGATTTTTCATTTTTAGGTTTTTATCACATCATTTTTTATTTCAAAATTATGCAAGCCACATTCAACGTATTTTGCCACTCTATACGATGGAACACATCCTAAAAAATGGATTCATATTGCGTTGATATCATCGACAACTTCAACAGGAGAAGAATTAATTTTTTTTAGAAATGTTCAGAATTTGGTGAAATCGTCTGTTCAGTTTGATGCTGCCATAACCATATGCTATGCTAAACACAAATCCTTCATTTGGATCGATTGCTCTGCTCAATATCTCGAGTTGATTTCGTGATTTTTCAGATAAGGCAATCCAAGGGGGTGCAAGAAGGCCCTTCTGGATTTTTCTGACCAATTCATACAATGACGATGCTACAATGGTTTTGAGATATTCCTGAGCTGACATGAAGTCAAGAAACCTATTTATCACAAGGTTTTTCATCGCGTAATCGGAAATCAATCGGAAAAGTCGATTTCTTGTAATCAACACTCATTTACGCAATTAACAGCACTGCAACACCCAATATAATGCCTCCTATCGAACCGATGATGACAGTTGTCGAAAGTTCTACAGGAGGCAATATATTGGGTGTTGCAGTGGTATCAATTGCGTAAATGAGTGTTGATTACAATAAAATAGTTATTTGTTTAACTAGGCAGCAAAGTAGTAGATTGACTGCCAAGGCTGAATTCATAGCCGAGCGTAGCGAAGCTAGGAATCCAGCTAAGGCAGTCAATCTACTTTGCTGCCGAGTTGAACATATAATTTTTTCTCCGATTGTTCATAATGATATAGGAGGATATTGTAATTGCAAATTATTACAATTCCCACAATCTCTTTATTTTTCCTGTAGTGTTCAATTAAAATGAAATTTGATAGAAATCGCAGTTGTCCATGATAATTATAGTTTGACAATTCATGAAAATTCTGACAGTTGTGTGAAAAAATATCGGTATATTTGAATTATTATATGATGGACAGTGATAGCGACCTGGAAGTACTTACACCTCCAGAAATAAGGGAGGTGGCAAAAAATATAGAGTTGCATTTGTTGCTGGAGAAGTCTCGAATGAAATATGAAGGAAATTATAAACGATTTATGGATTATTAATTTTGCTGATACATATCAATCAGCAAAGTAACCACTTTGCTGCCTAGGCAGGAAAAGTAATACTTTGCTGATTGATATGTGTCAGCAAAATTAATATTTGCTGCCAATCGGAGAAAAAAGACTTTTTCGATTGATTTTCGATTACGAGATGAAAAACTTTATAATAAATAAGTTTCTTGACTTCATGTCAGCTCAGGAATATCTTGAAACCATTTTAGCATCGTTATTGTATGAATTGTTCAGGAAAATCCAGAAGGGCCTCCTTCCGCCCCCTTGGATTGCCTTATCTGAAAAATCACGAAATCAATTCGACATACTGAGCCGAGCCATCGATTCAAATGAAGGATTTGTGTTTATCATAGCATAAGGTTATAGCAGCACCAAACTGAACAGATGATTTGACCAAATTCTGAACATTTCTAAGAAAAAATGAATTCTTCTTCTGTTTGAGTTGTCGATGATTTCAACGCAATATGAATCCATTTTATAGGATGTGTTCTATTGTATAGAGTTGCAAAATACGTTGAATGTGGCTTGCATAATTTTAAAATCGGAAATGATGCGATAAAAACCTAAACATGAAAAATCATCGATTTTCAATTTCCTGTATGAGGAATATGGGAAATTACCAAAATGTTTCGGGGTATTGGCTTGAACGTTCGGAAAAACCGCTTAATGATAAAATTGAAAAAAAAAACGCTGAAAAATACGGAAGCGTTCGAATTTTTTCTATTTTGTAATAGTTTTTTCGAACACTTGGTGTATAATGACAGAAAAACTCCCGACGAGTTTCGAACGAGGAATCTTGAAAAGAAAGATCGCATCAAGTTTTTTAGGATGGCAGTTCAGACGCATCGTAAAACAGACCGTCAGCGCGACGTATGTTTTTTGCTGTATCTCGAGTCTCTGGGCATTTGTTCTACAAAATTACATTTTCGTGATCTATACGAATTATAAATTTGCAAGAGTCAAGAGTTCAAGAAATTTGTGGCGAATAACGGGGTTTTTCAAAAATAAACCAGTCCCATCAGATTATCAACATTGACTCGCATTGACTTTGGATTTGAAATTTAATATGGTGAAGCGTTCAGTAAAAGAATCATCTTCGGTAATTTGCATACCCACTCGAACGAATAGATAGTTAATTTGAAATAATTCGCGGAAGTTACATAAATTAATCAATCCAGATATCGATTTTAATTAGCTTTTACTGTGATTATAGATGAATTACACTCACGTTAAAATTCGTTAAATGAAATGAAATTTGTCACACTCTGAAAGCTTCAGTGGTACGAATACTTTGATAGTGATAAAGTGATAAATAGGTCTGGCCCTACCCGACATAGGTAAGTGCAAATTTCAGATATATCTCGCTCGGGATGTACCAGGGAACAACTAAGAACGGCTGTCTGCCATATCTCACCAACAAATGATGATACAACTTTGAATAAAAAAATCTCAAGAAAAGTTACCTTGAAAAAATACTCGAAAAAATCGCTGGAAAATATTTTTAGATTTCTAAATTAACACGCTAGGTGGCGTAACGGCTATGAGCGAAGAGAAAATTGAAATTTTCTCCATATTTAGTAGTTACAAGGTGTACTGAAAACCTATGCAGTTTGATCCTTGATAAATTCCTAGTTTTTTTGTTCCACACCTTTCGTCCCATCTCAAAAAGATAAGTGGTTGAGGAACGTCAAATAACTTTTTTTCTAAACATCGGTAACTCTGATTCCACAATCTTAGGCTCGTTGTAAAGGCCTCTTCGTGTTCTATCAACTGTGATTTGAATTGGTTTCATATTCATATCACCGTTGCCGCTAGCAGGCGTGATCTAGAGTATCAATCGAGGTATCAATGGATATCGCAATAAAAAAATGTAATGTAATGGTATGCATATAAGATAGCTTTTCACTAACGGAAGATATTAACGATCATATAGTTGGAAGAATGATTGATGACAGCCGTTCTTAGTTGTTCGCCCTGTACAGGAATTCTAATGAGACGATAATAATTGCATCAACGAAATCTGAGGAGATTTTGAATAATGCTCTGATATTTTGATAGGCATAGTTTTTTATTTTAGTACCAACAAGTATTTCTATTGAGTATATTCGTTATTTTTCTTCCGTAATAATTTCCATGTAGGTTCTTCTGAAACTAAAAGACTATACAGAAAATCTCGCTCAGGAAATTTTTCAAAATTCCTAAAAAGCACAAAATCGATATTTATGAAATTTCCAAATCACCTAAAATATCGACCGTGTCTCACTTTGAAAGGCCTCCCTCTATATCTCAGCTATATCAGTGGTGCGATTTTTACGAAATTTGGACTGGTATGAAAAACCATCAATATGATCAGTTTTTCAGAGGCAAACATAATTTTGGATAGTGCCGTGCGTTTGTATTAAAATTGAAAGAGAGAAAGTTTTCATGAAATCATATCAGGCATTTTCTACAGGAAAACTGACTAAATAATATTGTGCCTCATGATTTCAAACGCCCATATGTAATTTTTAATATAATTTCTATCAGGGGTTTCAGAGAAACAGGTAAGGTCCATA